AGACAGATTGATAGATTGAGATTTGGGGGAGGGGGGGAGGTATATGGTTGTGTGGTTTATTTCTGATTTAGAAGGAGGGAGGGTGTGATGAGTGGAAGGTTCTTTTGTTACTCCACTTACTGTCTTGTATACCTGCTCTGAGGAGTTAAATCCAAATACCTTAACGCGGATGACACCTCGCAATGTATGGGACCTCGCCAGTCCAGTTTAGGCCATTACTGGATGTTATGAGCTTCTAGACAACCTACTTCGTGGATAATCGCTGATATTATAGTATTAAGTTTGGGGTTGCCGCTTCTCTTATTCTTATTACTGTCTTTGATTATGATTTGAATTCTCTCGTCAGGGTATGCATTAAGTGAAAGTTGTAAATTTCCCACGATCAGTTAAGCAGTGTAGTTCCTCAAGTTCTTTCTAGGAGAGACAAGATGACCTTGGACATACATGAGACATTTGATGGGAAGTGCAAGAGGGGAGTAAGTAGAGTACATTGATATCTAGACTGTACAGTGCATATGTGCACATTAATTAACCCCTCGCGATGTGCTCATCCCATATCTTCTCACTCACCTCGCGAACAGAACAGAACAGCTACTCTTGCTCCATCTCCATTGAGGTTATACCGTTGCACGAGTAGTGATATACAAACCTCACAAAAACAACAACCAATAAAAACCCCATACGGCTCCCACACTACTATATCTACCAGGTTACCCCTCCCCTCACTTACCAAACACACCCTCCACGTCCTGGACAGTGCAGTACTCTTGGCAGTACTAGAAGTGACTCCGCAAAAACGTCCAGCTTCGTATTCTCCATACCAGTAAGTCCTACCTCCAGTAATGAACACAGACGTTTACCAGCAAGGGCTGGCTCATGAATAAATTTCCCGAAGAAACGTAGAGGTCTAGGGGTGAGGAATATTTCCCGAGTGAACGTTAACCCAGACGTTTAAGAGTGATGAATCGGCCGGGATGAAGATCTTTTTCTTGAGGGATGGGAGTGGTAGGATGAAGGGTTTTTATTGTACTGATGCTTGCTAATTAAGGTAGATCATATACAAGTCTGTGACTTTGCACTTGAAGCTACAGCCACCTGCATCGATGAGGGACGTAGAATGGGTAAGCATATATGCTGTAATAGCGTATTCGTGTTACGCGACTAAGTCCAAAAAATAGTATAGAAACGTGAAAACTAGGTGGTATATCAAGCTTCAGGAGCCAATGCGACGGAAGAAGTGTAGGTAAACTGTCGATCTTTCTACAGTGTCTACTGAGTTAACGATCCGGAAGAGCACACCACGCTGGCTTCTTAGACTAAAAGGTACCCGATAGAACTCATTTTGACCATGCGGTGGCGACTGTTCTGAAATCGTGGGGCGATAGTTGCAAAAGACACCAAACAAGCACAATCCCTATGCTTGTATCCTCACCATTTAAAAATAGAATAGGGTACCTTCCTGAGCATCTCGATTTAGCGTGCCAGGAACCAAAATTAAGCTTCGAAGATCCAACGCCTGAACGCTGGACCTGGGATGTTCCCGAGGCGTTTGGCAGTTGTCTCGTGTGGTGAGTTTCGACGAGTGTAGAGCGACACGTGGAGAGACGTGGTAAGCTTCGTGACAAGGCGATGATGCTCTCCAGGTTTCGAAGGTCCACATTTAAGATGAAAAACTCTAAGAGAGCTTTATGATACTCTGTAGGATATTCTGTAGGATATTCTGTAGGGTTGTTTGTAGGGATGGGCTGGTGACCATTTTTGCTGCAGAGGTCTCTCTCGTTGCATCGTCATCTATTTTGGGTGACTTGAAATAGGTCACATCTCGGTACTGTAATTGAGAGTGTTAGCGTAGCTGTGGAGCACTCAATGCACAACATGACATGTCAATTGAGTGGAATGCAAAAAGAGAAGAACAGGTGATTGAGCATGAATAATTGCGGTGGTGGTGATTTAGAAACGTATGAGCGATAAAGTGGGCGAATCATCGTCCACCTTGATCCGACTTCTGGTCCGACTTCTGGTCCGACCTTTTCAGACGGCGGTGGGAATATGGAAAGTTCCGGGACAGCGAAACTGGCTCCGTGCCTTCGGATCTTATCTCGTAACGTGTCTGGCAACGAGATCGCTTGAATTATGGGTTGACTTTTGCAACTTTCTTTTGAAAACATTCCGGGCATGAGAGGTCAAAGTTGGGACAAAAGCTCTTCCATGGAGGAACTGCTTTTGCTTTACAGTACGGAGGTACTGTTACTGTGCAGTATCTGCGATTCTATGTGTGATGGGTGTCCAGTGTCTAGCCGTCGAGTTTTCCCACAAACCCCGCTTTCGCTCTCGGGCAACTCGGTTGAGCGGAATGAACTCTAACCCGCCATTTGCAGAGGGAAAGGGAATGGGAATCGGAGGTGTCGGTGCAGTGTCCTCTCCAGCGATCGTGACTCTGGTCATGTTGACGACTTCAGCCCTACCGCAAACATCATCTGCACTGCGCAGCGTCCAGCGCAGTGCAGTGCAGTCCCTCCGTACGGGTACCAGTACCAGTACCAGATGTGAGGCGCTTGGGATACCAAGTAATGATATGCTTCTTTGCGAGGCTTCTAAACTTCTTCAACCTTTGCGGCGTTGCTTCATGATTTTAAGCTTTGCCAAGTGGGGGACCCCAAGAAACGTCGGCTGTCTTGGATAAGACCTTGAATGCTGGCTTACCGCACTTGGGGCCCTCGCTATGGACAGCCTAGGGACTATCCATCATGCTACCAAAGTATCCTTCTAAATAAAGCAATGCAGTACTTATTTTGGTGTGGCCGCGGTGTTCGGTACCTACACAGAGCATGGTGTTGATGAGAGTCACAGAGTGAGGGAAGCGGAGATGGGAGTGCGCTCTAGCCGGTTCTGCAGCAAATCGCTCATCGCACCGAGGAGCCACAGCCGTCTGGTCGGGTGCAGGAACTGCAGGTGGTCCATCTCTGCTCTGTAGCTGCCTCTCGTAGCCTCTCGGCCATCGTGTCCCGCTCAAGCATGGCGCTAGGGAAGGACCAAGCTTACGGGCACCCACTGAAATCCCACTGAAAAAAGACGTACTGGGGTACTGGTAGCCTAAGGTATCCCACCTGCTGCCACCCTCCACCCTGATCCACCCCCGCTTGGCACCTCGCGGCCTCTCCATCTGGTGCCACCGGTGCTATCAACCCGCCTAAGCCTGAGCCTGATCCCCCCAAGAACCCGTTTCAAACTCGACAACGCCCATCACCACCACCGACTACCCTTCCTGTCGCACTCTCCTCCAAGGTTCCTTTTGCCCAGGGATCTCTCTTGACCACTTCGATTGCATTTCTCGGCGCCTCTTCAACTGCAAACCCAGACCACACACAACAGCCCTATCGTGCCTACCATATGATCCATATCACATTCAAACATCGCCGTCGCATCATCACCATCATCGCTATCCTCTTGCCTTCGTGATCGACATTCGACGGGACTGTGCCTGCTGACCCGCCACCCTATTGCAGCACAGCACAGCAAGCAGCACACTCGACGACCTCACCATCATCACCTCCACCTCCACCGCCACCACACGAACAGAACATGTTGAACCTCCATCTGTGAGAGTCCTCGACAAGACTTGCGGCCGGGCCGCGACGACAACATTCACCATGGAAGCCAGACAACTCATCAACACCGGTCGACTATCCAATACTCCCACTCCCACCGGCACCCGAACCCGCTGCACCCCATTCACCCTCCCCGCCAACGGTGTTCTGACTCTAGGACCCGACAACGTAATTACCCTCACTGAAGATGCCGTCTTCAGACCAGAGTGTACAGGTGCGAGTGGCGTGGTCCTCACAAACGCGGGCACCGTCACGACAAGCTTACTCGACTTTCGCGATCCCTTTTACGCCTCGACCATCCCGGAATGTTATGCTTTGGCATCAGCGACGGTAATTGCATATATGCTCGTGATAATGTTGGTAATTACGCCTAGGACCTTCTTACATGACGGAACCGTGGTATTGGGACGACGGGGATTTACCAATGGACCATCTGGAAGCGACGCGGGAATTGGAATCGGAGGACGACCATGGCTTCAGAAAGTAGCAGCGATGACGGTCGCGATATCTCTCACCATTGCCACCGTGGACACGTTCAAAGTCGCCGAATCGCAATACCAAAAGGGATTTATGGATGCAGCCGCTCTACAGAAAGAGGTCGAAGATGGAATGGAACTAAAAATCATCCGCGTGATATCCGACACCTTTCTATGGCTAGCCCAGGCCCAAACACTCATCCGTCTGTTTCCTCGACAACGTGAAAAGATCATCATTAAATACACGGCCTTTGCTCTCATCACACTCGATGTACTCTTCAGTATTTTGAACAACTTCTATTACAAAGGAAACTCACGGCCGAGGACTTTTGTGGATGCCGTCCCGGCGCTAGCTTATTTATTCCAACTATCTCTGAGCCTCCTTTATTCGGCATGGGTCATTTACTACGCCATTACGAAGAAGCGGTATTCTTTCTATCATGTACAGATGAAAAATATGTGTTTGGTGGCGTTACTTTCCGTGGTATCAGTCTTGGTACCAACAGTATTTTTTGTCCTCGACATCTCAAAACCCACTCTTGCGGGATGGGGTGACTATGTCCGGTGGGTTGGTGCAGCGGCGGCGAGTGTAGTAGTATGGGAATGGGTGGAAAGGATTGAAGCGTTGGAACGAAATGATAAGAAAGACGGTGTTTTAGGAAGAGAAGTATTTGATGGAGATGAGATGTTGGACGTTACACCAACAGCAGAACCCACTTGGACAGAAAGATGGAGCGGTCGTAAACACGACAACGACGGAGATGAAGGCGGTACTGCTGCAACATCAGGCTCGAATGGCAAGCGCTGGCCTGGGATGGCAGTCATGAAAAGTCGATATAGGTCGCATCAACCAAACCCTACTGTGGATCTCGAGCAAGGCCAAAATACCTCCGATGCCTTACGAAATACTAACAATCGAAAATCAAGGGTCCGACCTCCCCTTTGGCCAACGCGGCCCCGCCCCGCGGCCACTCCTATTAGCAGAACAGATACTGCTAGTGCTGATAGCACCGTATATGCAGTTCGGTACCATCCTATCAGCGAGGCGACACCACAACCTCCAAGGATTATCATACCCTCCAGGAGCAATAGCGTAGACGGACCGACCCCCAGACGGAGCCCTTCGAACCTCCAGAGAACCACGGAGGTCAATAATGAGAAAGAGCTTGTCGCTGCAGAAGCGGCGGAAGCATATGGCATTGAGGCCGGACCCAATAAGCCTACAGCATGGCAATCCATCGCCAAAGTCAACCCCTTTCGGAGGAGAATAAATGCTCCACCACCAGAGGTTTCTGCACATACTGTGAAAATGAAGCAAGAGGAACAACTACCTCCCAGCAGTCATGATTCGTCTAACAAATGGGATGTTCGAGGAAGAATTGAGGACTTTGCCGCGACCCAAGCTGACAAGTATCGAGAAAAGTCTCGAGCCGATGTCACTACCGCTCCTTTGACACGCACAGTCATCCCAGCACCACCCAGAAGACGCAATCTTCAGCAAACTTTGGAGGAGTTGGAAAATGCCGAGACCTTGAATGGTACAGGTTCAGTGCCAGGTATCACATCTGCTACCAGCCAGAATACTCTGGGGGAATTCTTGCAGGTGGAGCAACCTCGTTCGAGTGATCCATACACGCCAGATGACCTTGGATTCCATGCGGTACATCAGCGTGGGGCAATCTCGATAGTCACATCAGATCGAGGACGATCGCCTAGCCAGGACGATGGACTTTCTCCCGTTTCTCCTGTCTCGCCGGAGGATGATCGAGCGCCGTCTCAAAGGAACAGTGCGATCATAATCACCCCGATATCGCCTCGACGGGATGGATTACCAATCCTGAGCATTCCCGCACCTCCCAGGCGACCAAGGCCTGACGATGACGATGATTAGGTGCTCATAAAGGCTTTTGCGAACCATATTTTGGTCTCTTGTATCTTTTTCTTGGCATATTGGGCATCAAGCGTTGGCTCACCTTTTCTTTTGTTTATAATTGGCATCCATGGGAAAGGCGTTTTAATTTGGTAACCATGACAGATGGTTCAAATGGGATGGGTGAAAATACCTGCGAAAGGAGCATTTTACGGGTTTTTGGACTGGATTGGCAGGGAACAAAATATCCCGCATATTTTATAACATATTTGTGTACCTAGGTACAAATGGGTGGAGTGGGAAAAGGGGAAGTCTACATACCATCAGACATGTTCTGTCCGTGATGCGTAATGGCCGTATCTGACGGCGTTGGATATGGCATCCCATATTTAAGAGTAACTATATAAGATGAATAATAAAGAAACTTGAATAATTATTTCTTCTTCTGGTCAAGATGATGTTGTCTTAAGAATAGCAATGAGCAGTGCTGACTAAGATGGGAGCCGAGCTGACATGGGAGTTTGCTAGCTGCGTAATGATACTTGGGCACTGAAACGAGAACTACTCTAGGTAATTGTAGCAATTCGAGACGTGTATGGGAATGGGCGGTGTACTGGTACAAAGAAGGGATGTGGTTCTCGGTTGTGCTAGTGTTTTACTACAAGCTGTGGTCGGGTGTTATAGGTAGGTACTTATGCAGTACGGAGCATTCATCAACCACACGTCAAGTCAAGGACCAATGAGACTCGTGCAGTGGTACCAATTGGCTGAGTTGTTCAATTGGAGCCGGTGGATGACATCAAGCTGGAAGTATACTCGGCAGCGGCCCTGGCCTGGGGCAACCTTAGCCGTTGGCACGCGAACTCCTCCGTGCCGCCGGGTGCTGGATATGTGTGTGAGTGTGGTGAAGTGAAGGGAATCGATGGAATAGGGGGAATTGATGGGTTCCAACCTAGTACGCGGATCCCGCGGACTGACGTTGGATAGGGCACAAGTATCCTGATGCTGTATTAGACTTAGCTTCCAGACTCCGTGCGTGCGTTGTAATCCCTACCTACCTACTCGTCTACTCGTACAGTACCGTAAAGCTGGGGCTCGATACTGTACTCGTACTGTAGGAGATTTTTAATTTCAGCTGCACGATCTCAGGCCCTTAAACTCAACCACCACCACCACCACCACCACCTGAACTCTCCACCTGCACAACTCACAACCCACCATTCCTCAACATCCTCTCCTCTTCTGCAATCAAGCACAATTCTCATGTTAGCATTACTTCGTCCGCAGCCCTTTTCCGGATGAATTCCTCTTCAAACCCCGCTGGGATGCACTCGAGCACCGAAGCATTTCCCCTACTTTCCACTTCCTCCAGCAGCGGCTCCGACAAACTCGCTCCGCTGGGAGGCCCTCAAATTGAAAAACCACGTATAAGAAGACGCTCGAGTGGTCTGGGAGGAGAAATCAGAGGGGACACCAGCGTTCCTGCGCTGGCAACCTTGGATGCGAGACCGCCGTCTCCGGGGACCTTGAAGGTTAGTAGATCTGAGGCCATTCCCGAGTCTTACCGTCATGCCAAAACCCATGCTAATGGACCACGTAGGCGCAAACGGAGAGGGATCGAAGGAAGCCCTTTTCCAAACGACGGAAAGCCAAAAGTTTTTTGAGACAATGGAAACGGTATGCGCTGAAACATACTTGGGTTACTCCCTTGGTCTTGATAGGCGTTTTCCTAGTCCTGTTCGCCATTAACCCCACCGAATCGAATCCTATACATCATTTTCTATTCCTTTCCTACCGTATCACTCCGGCCCCTGGGACGCCGGCCGGAACTCCAGATCAATATGGGAAGGGGTGGTGGGATGTGGCTTTTGTGTCCTTTTACATCATCGTTCTCTCGTTTACTCGCGAATTCATCATGCAGAGATTTCTACGTCCCCTGGCGAAAAAGAGCGGCCTGAAGAGTCGAGCGAAGCAAAGCAGATTCATGGAACAAATGTACACGGCTATTTACTTTGGTGTTTTGGGACCCGTGGGACTTTTTGTCATGAGCCGGACGCCGGTGTGGTATTTCAATACGAGGGGGATGTATGAGGGGTTCCCGCATAAGACTCATGAGGCTTATTTCAAGTTTTATTACCTCTTCCAAGCGGCGTATTGGGCGCAACAGTTTATTGTGTTGAGTTTGGGAATGGAGAAGCCGAGAAAGGACTACAATGAGCTGGTAGGACATCACATTACGACATTGTTTTTGATTGCGTTGAGTTACCGGTTTCATTTTACCTACATGGGGTTGGCGGTTTACATCACTCACGATATTAGTGATTTTTTTCTTGCTGTCAGTCACTCCCCTCTTGATTACACACAATGACCTCAAAAGACATTATGAGCTTACTAATTTGTCTTCTAGACCTCAAAAACCCTCAACTACCTAGACCACCCTCTCGTGGGACCCTACTTTGCATTTTTCATCATCGTCTGGATTTACCTCCGTCACTACCTGAACCTCAAAATCCTCTGGTCGGAATTTAACGAGTTCAAGACCGTCGGGCCGTATGAAATGGATTGGGCGGCGGGCCAGTACAAATGTTGGATCTCACATTGGATATCAACCTTTCTCCTTACCGCACTACAGGGACTGAATCTGTTCTGGCTATACTATATCTTCCGAATTGCGTATCGCTTCCTTTTCGTGGATGTTGCGCTGGAGGATGATCGCAGTGAGAACGACGAGGAGGAGTTTGCTGCCGAGGCAAGGGAGGATGAGGAGCGACGGAGGAGGAGTGAGGAACGAGAGAAGCTGGAGGGAAAGAGTAATGGCAAGGCGGTGTTGGAGCATGGGAATGGGAAGAGTAGTGGGCTGGAGGAGAAATTGAATGAGATTACGAATCGGAAGGTTAATGGGAAGGCTGTTTGAGGGGAGGGGTTTGGTATAAGTTTGTGGGGGGGTTCTTTTTTTTGTTTGTGTATGAACAAGTTGATGTGGATGTGGGATGGGTATTCCTTGTGTGTACCTATGGAGTGGGAGAATTGAAGTTCCTACGTATACTACTACCCTATCGACTTCCTCTCTGTGGGAAAGAGACAGAATTCACGCAAAAGAAAAGAAAAGAAAATTGAAAGAGAAAGAATAAGAAAGAAGAGATTGCCGAGCGAGGGGGGAAAGACGCATGGACAACCAGGTACCACGGAAATTCCAAGCCAGCCAGCCGAAATTGCAAAACGTCCAGTTGATCAGAGATACGATACACTGTCGTTCAGTGACATGGTAAGGGAAGGAGGGAGCAGCACTTGGGTGTGGTGTGAGGGAAAATGGATAGGAGGGGATCTCGGTTGAGAGGGGATGATTGATTTGGGGGGGTGATAGAGGGATGGTGTGGGAGGAGGGAAGCTAACTCCTGGGATTTTTACCGGGGTGTGGAGATGTGGATGAGTAGTTATGGATGGATGGATGGATGGAGCAGTTGTCATTATCACGGGGAATCACCTACCTACCTACATACCTTTCGCTTCTTCTTCTTCTTCTTCTTCTTGTTGTTGTTGTTGTTGTTCTTCTTCTTCTTCTTCTTGTTGTTGTTGTTGTTGTTGTTGTTGTTGTTGTTGTTGTTCTTCTTCTTGTATTAAATTAAATTGAATTTTCTTGTTCTGTATTTGTATTTGTATATTTTTTGTAGGCTGTGGATGAATGATGGTGATGGTGATGGTGGTGGTGGGTTGGTGACGGGTTAGTGAGTGGATAGGGTAGATACTGTAGATTGTTGGTGTGAATGATGTATGATTGAATGAATGTATCCTAAGGTTTTTCTTGTGGAGGTTTTTTTGGTTTGTTCCTGCCAGCCTGCTTTGGTGCCGGGAGGGATTCGAGTATTTGGTGGAGGGGTAGTGTGGGGGATGAGGTTCATAAGATGGGAGTTTATGAGGAGGGGGTTTGTAAGAGGGGGAGGGATGTGTGAGTGTTTATGTTGATGTTGACTTATTATAGTTGCCCAAACTGGATTTTGTGTGGTTGAAGGAGAGTGAGTGATGGGTGTTGAGTTGGCTTGCGTTAACTTAGTTGGGGTGAGCTTAGAGTGGGGTGTTGGTAGTACCATCTGAGTCTTATTTTTCTCCTTGGAGATGGGGGTTGTGGACTTGTGGACTTGTAGGCTAGCTTTTCTGGGTCTTGTTTTTTTTGGAATGGGTACTTTTTCTTCGGAACTGGTGATTTATGTTTGAGCGTTGAGTTTTGATGTGGTTGTAGCTTGTGAGGAGAGAGTGAGGGTTCTTTCCCTTTTCTTGTCTTGTCTTTCTCGTGAGGAGGGAAGAAGGGAGAGGTGAGAGGTGAGGAAGGGTTTAGTAGTAAGAGTTTGATATTGTGGGATTAAGAGGGCAAGATATAGGCAGCGTTTGAACAAACTACTCGACAACTAGCTCGAGTACTAATTAGAGTTTCTCTAGTTGAGTTGCGTTGAGTTGAGTATGAGTATGAGTAGTAGGCTTGGTTGAGTGGTTAATTTGACTACTCGAGTACTACTTGCAGTACTTTACTAGAAGCACTTGTTACCGGAATATACACTTACAGGAGACCAACTAAGGCCGAGTGATCGGACCGCCCGTCCGAGGTTCAGTCCGCCGTTTTGTACTCCGCGCTACTCAAGTAGAGTAGTAATCTTACATAGAGTCACTTGAGTACTTGGCGGATCTCATTTGGGTAGGTCTAAAAACTACGATAAGTTGAGTTGAGTAGATGCTACTACTTAACTCACCTCAACGCTGGATATGGGATATGAGATGAGATTAGGTGTTTGGAGAAGGTATTTATTGTGATTTTGGTACGCATCTGCATTTTTTGATTTCGGTTCGGGAATGGAGATGGGTAGTGGCGATCATTAGTGGGTTCGACTTTCGAGATTGCGGTTTTGGGGGCGTTGAGTGGAGGTATCGAAGTATCGAGGTGGTGATTGTGGTTTATTGGATTTTGGGTGGTGTGGTGTGTGTTGGATTGGAAGTTGGATTGGATGTGGTTACTGGAGTTTTCTTTCTTTCGTTTTCAAGCAGAGACTTGGTGGGAAAGAGGCGTGATAAGAGGCTTAGGTATTAATCATATCAGTGGATAGTGGACACCAAAACTTGAGGGACATGAGATGGGGTATCGCTGTAGTTTGAGAAACTTTGACGATTCAGCTATGACTTGGACCTATTTGCTCTACACTATATTTGCTTTACACTATATTTGGTGTGTAGTGCTTCGGCTTATACCCAGAAGCCGATGTTGAGTTTTGAGACAGAATAATAGCGTGAGATAACTGGGGTGGAATGGAGGGAACTACTATACAAGAAAAGAGTGGAATGATGCTGGTATTTTGTCAATTGAAGACAGCCAATCAATTTATACTTGAGATACCAATGAAAGATAAAGAACCACAATCTCTTCTCATATATCTCTTTCCAATCTACAAAAGAACTAAAGGAATAGCAAAGTATCACGGACTCTTCCCATCAGCTCAGAAATAAAACCAGGCGAACGGGACTTCTTTTCTGTTTTTGCTGCTATGTATTCCCTCCATGTTAAATTTAAGTACTTTAACTTTTAAGGTTTTCATCGTGTAGAGTCTGTAAATGTAAGTTCATTATTTCCCTCGAGATTTGCTGTCGCTGGAGAGAGAACGGAAAATATGTTTCTTTGACTTTTGAAGCATTTTTGTTTTTTTGGCGTTTAGTTATGGCTCGTATCTGTGTCGTATGGCGAGGTATGGTTAAGTAGTGGGGAAGGAGGGGGGTTAAGCGAGTGGTAGAATGCCGATGATGAGCCGGCCAGCTCACTCCTCTCAGTGGATAGAGAAAGTGCCAGTGACTCCATGGATCCCTCTGAAGCTCAATCAATCAGCGCGTTGAATTTTGAGATGCCTCGCAATACATGCACCCGATTTTAAAGGATTGAGTTTGAACCAAAAGTGGATCAAACCAACGACCACACAAGAACAGCTATGGACAACAGTATTTTTAGAATATAAGTCATTCCTATGATTATCCTGGGTCTCCTTCGGACGACTTGAGTTCCGAATCTTTTCTGTATGAGTTAAAATTGTATGTGGTAGTACTCAAAACACAGTACGCAGTTCATGTCAAGGTCGCCCCAAAAAATGTCAAAAATGTCAAAAATGTCAAAAAATCCTCACCCTCATAGAAGGTGGTCTCGGACGATAAACCAGACGAACTGAGTTTTTTGCGGTTTGACTAGTCAATCTTCAAGTAAAGTTCTCACTCAATGTTACCGATAAGCTACGCAGGCATATACTTTTGTGACTTCGTGTGAGGTGTGTTACTTAAGGTTATGACTGCGAAGGGGGTGAATTTAGTGAATGGTTGTTTAGGGGATGGAAGGAATTAAAAGATGTTGAGTATTATTGCAGAGCTGTATTAGGGTAGGTTTTTTGGTGATGGGCATTTATGTGCGATACTGGGTTTCGTAAGGGTGTAAAATACAAAAGCCTAAGATCTTTGGATCCAGAGGATCCGAATGAGCAAGAACTGGGTAGAGAGTGAGCGTCCCGGGTGAAATAGTAATAGTTCATAGGGCGGCTAAAGTTGGTAACAGGGTAAATGCCCCCTGAGAAAGTTGCCATTATTTCGCCAGGGACGAAGTCTTTAGGGTGTCTCCACAATTACCACCGTGGTTTCCTGAGCTGGCCATCAACTGTGCATAGGATTCCAATGGACGACGCATGTTGGGGATCACGTAGGACCAAATTAATCTCAGGTTGTTGTATATTGGGAAGAATACGGTAGTAAAGCACCTCATCAATGTATCTTCTTGGAATATTTATGCCCCATTTTCAATCTTTTGGGACACTTATCTTGATCGTCCTGCGGTGTACAAGACATTGATATAATTACCTGGTACTGGAAGCGACTGTGATTTCATAAAGGAAGGTACGGTAGCCTGGATTGACTCTCTACCTTGGCCATGAGTGGAATGGTAAATCTTGCTGTACAGTACGTACAGGTGGCCACGCCATTGAATTGAGGGACCCATCATAATAACCATCCTCCCAAGCAGAACAGCTGATTCAAGTTCAGAGCACTCAACATGGCATCTTCTGATGACCTGGTGGATAGATGGGGTGTACGAGTACGCAGACTAACGGGACCCTGATTTTTACTTTAGGTATCTTACACTCCTTAACTTTGAGCAAACGTGGACACCAGAAACAGGTTTTTGGAATTTGAAATCAAGGAATGAGCAAGCTTGGAGTTTTTTTCTATGACGGAAATCAATATTTTTGATGCCCAAATCTTTTGGCTTCTATACTTCTACATAACAAGTGATGCCCCGCGTGCTCTCTTTGATGAAAAGCTCATTATGGCTTGATGAGCCTAGCCCTTCCATCAACAAAACAAACAAAAACCAGCCCACTGCGTCGTCATTTCTATTTTTTTCTCCATACCCATCAAAGCAGGATATTTACCGAATGCAACTCAACTCAAGCATAACATCAGTCAGATATCAGATATCAGAAAACCGAAACACCATTAATATCCCTACACAACATAGAAGTACAATCACCAAGCAGAATCCGATCGGGCATTTGCACACCATCATCTCACTTAGACGCGTATACTTGAAGTGAATTATGACATCGCTCAAACAGCTCCCGAGATCGTATGTTCGGGGGATATTCATCGCTAAGGCGAGAAGGAGGCTGACGAGATCTTCTCATTCGTGGGCTTCAACTTACTCACTCGGAAGATTCCTGTGTAAGACCCAGGAGGGAGGTAAGAATCTGACCACCTACCTTAGACAAGCATTGAGATGTGTTGACGCGATTGGCGAGGTGACAAAATTTTAGATATGTTCGGAAGGGATCTTGATATTGCTGACCACCTTTAAACCCGAGTCAGGCCTTGTGGGACATGGAGAAAATGTAATGTACCAGGTGGAATTGGAGGCATAGCACACTGTGGCCGTCAGTTTGTCTCTCCAGCATGCACCGAGTTGTCATGTCTCGCTTTCTCGTGGCTCCCACGGCGTCATGCAGCTGTCAGACCGGAAGAGGAGCCGCCTCTGTTCGAGTCTCGGCTTAGAATTCCCCAATTCCTGGACTTGCGTTTTCCTTTCCTCGCTGTAGTTCACCGCAAGTCTGTACACCTACAGAGGGTTACATACCCCCAGGATGCGGGGTGTGTTTGGGGTATGGGTAGCAGAAGAGAAATACTTTTGGGTACTTGGTACTTGGTACTTGTGGCGCTCTAAAAGTCGCAGCTGTGCGAGTAGATATCCACTTAGCCGAACCCTGGACGAGTGCTTATAATCTCATGATGTACTGATGAGCAGCTGTCGTTATGAGATCACTAGCCTTCCTTTGGTACAGATAAAGAATTGGAATGGTGTTTGTCCACCCCCAGATCAAAGACCGTAGATGATACAATTAAAGCTATACTTACCAAACAGTATTCAGCATGGACTATTGTAACACTGTATGGCCAGGAAACCCACGATCTAAGAGGTCAGGCAAGCTTAACCACCGCGAGATGGTGGGATTTCATGATCCTCCTGAGGAAGCTCATGGCGCTAATGTTGACACCCAGGCCTAAGGAAGCCTTAGCTCTAGAACCAACAGGGACATTTGGATTCTCCAAGCCTTGCCAACAAGACTTCAAAAGCCGCGTTTCAACGGATCTTTCAAAATCAGCCAATCTAGAAGTGGAAGAGCTTGACATTGCTGGAGGATGTTTCCATGGTTGCTTTCCCATGGAACGTTCTGGATGCACCTAACAAACAGGGCAGCAGCAGCTTACCTTTGCAGAACTTTGCCCTGAACAATTCAACTGCTGAACACCACCAACAACAACCACACACCCTACAAATCAACGCGCTTCTCGTCAGATCATCAACTCTGGGTGCTCACCATTCTAGCGAAATCAATTGGAGGCGCCAATGGGCATGCAGCCCCTCCCTCAAGGGACACAAGCAGTCAGAAGACATCCAAAAGACAGCGCAATGCATTGAAAAGCACCTGTCCTACAGACATGACAACTGCTATTATCCAGTACTCGTACGCATGCCTGCAACCGGCATAATCGCCTGTCAGGACAAGCATAGAATGGGACATTCCCAAGTTGGCATCGTGTCCTCGGAACCGTTGAATGGTAGGCAGCGAGCCAGGGTTCGCGAGGACTCTGCTTGTTTTCTTTCTTAAACTCGGAAGATGCCCACCGAGATGCTGGATTGGCTGCGATGTGATTTTTCGCATCTGTTAAGTACCAGCAAAGGAGTTCCCTCCCCGTCTTGGAAATTATGCTGACAATACTTGCGCCTTTTATACAGTACAGGGCTCCCACAGGGCTTCAAGCCCCGATCGGTTACCGGATCGCCTTCCTTCCAGACTTGCAGATCCCGGCTTGGCTATGGTTGAAAGCTTGTGCCATACGCAACGAATCAATCGAGCCATGAGGTAACGGCAGATGACGGTCCTCGACAGTTCTCCACGGGACTCGTCTCTAATTCATTGGATCTTGGGTCCCCCATCCCATACACCAGAGCAATGGAAAGGAAAGGATACGATTCATTCACCCGCCTTCCGGCCATGAAACTGATGTTGTATTACGACAATTGGGCAACAAAATATATGATGAACCAAGTATCCGCACAGCGTACCGACACATTGCATCTGAATGAAGAATTGGATTGGAGACAAGTCATCGACGACAATGACCATCTACCCAATGAGGGTTCCCAATAAAGATAACGCTCACTGTTCTGAATGGCCTGATGAACGCAGAAGCTGTAGCAAACGGGCTCTTGTGCGAGGTTGGGAGAGGAAGACTTTGAACGTGGCTGGTACGACCGACTGCATGTCCACACTTTTCAACGATCTCTTGGAACGACTCACTTGGGTCAACTACTCCGTAGAGGAGCGCCGTTTCGCCAAGCAATCTGGAGAAAGTAGCCCTCACCGCTGCTTTCCAGACACTCGCCAATGGAGACTTAACTGACAGGCTACGTAGTCCCACAGATCTTCAACGCAACAATAACTACTGCGAGGTCGGCCCAGGTATATCTACCACGAGCTTGGTTATTGACGATAGGGATGCTTATGACCGCTCTGATGCTTCAAATTCTTTGATGACCAGCACCCATGGCAAGGTTCAAGAACCGATTCGCCAATGACCATTTTTTTCTGTCCAATAATATTTTCCCAATATCCAAAAGCCCAATCATCCCCTAGTAGTCCGAAGAATGATCGTAGGGAAGGTTTCACAACACCACTCTGAATGACATTTATCCTGAGTATGTCTACTCGTTAAACGGATTACCAAAATCAATACACGGATAAGGCAATTGATTTTGAGATAGTATGCATGGTCGGAATGCTGGGGCTGATGCAGCGAGGAGATGGTGGGAGAGACCCGGGGAAATCGACTTGCGTCCGGAGAATGGACAGTGGACAAACGGGCAATGACTGCGACTGGAAACAACTGACAACGCTTCAAATAATGCTCTTATAGCGGTTCGCTGTTAAATTCCTGCTTCAGAGACCTGCAAGCAGAGGGTTCAGAGTACCCCAAACCAGTCACACCACGACTGGATCCGGAAGAGGGGCCAGAACATCCTGATTGCTTTTCCAGCTCGGAGGCTAGTCACCAAACCACGTGTTCATACAGTAACTCCGAAACAACGGCTTCTGACTGGGGCAAGTAGTTCGAACTTCGAATGAGGTACTGTGTACTGGGTACCCATCTACCGTCGTTACTGTCTCCACGTTGTAGTGACGTGCAAATGTCGGGCGGCCGCTGTGATACTCGGGGCGGTGTTCTTGCTTTGGCGGCATCGTCGGTTGTGACTACAGGTCTTTCCAGGCTGACGTGCTAGTGGATTAGACGCTGAGTTGCCCAAAGATGCTGACTGTGGAGTGTTATGGTACTGGTGGTACATGATTGACATCTACCCGCGTGGCTCATGAGCACGAGCGTGAGGCTTGTGAGGTGGCTGCTTCCTGAGAAGAGCTTTATTCACTGGGGGATGCGATGGAGAAGTCTCCTCCATGTAGTGCTACAGTTCTGGTACTCCCTACTGTCGTCTCCTCCTAAGACCCTCCACAGCAGGCTTGGCGAGGTAGGACGGGATCGGTGAAGCAGGAGTACAGGAGTACAGGAGTACAAAAAAGAGACTCGAGGATGGAAATCCCAGGAGTTGAAGAGGGGTGCTGCCCATGGGTAAAAAGCCCTGGCCGAAGCTGCAGCATGCATGCATGCAGCAGGCAGGGGAGGGCTCGCCGCTCGCTCCAAGCCCTTGACCGTCGACGACATTTGGGAGGGCTCGAGTATTCTTTTGTGCTTCTCAAGGGTTGCGTAGCGTCGCCTTTGGGCAGACATCGAGATGGTCTTCCTTTTGGATCATGCCGGGCCATCTGATCTCTCGAACGAATTTCCACCACGCGTGCTGGGCCGAGGGAAGAACGGGGACATCGCTTCGCAAGGGGGGAGGCCTATTCCGGACAGGAGCGCTTGCTGCTGCTGCTGTTGTATCGTTGGGCGCTGGTTGAGTCCCATGTATCCATATCAAGGTCAGAATTGGTATGATTCCACCCAAAACAAAGGTCTTGATACACACCTATAAATGCTGGAAGTGATCAGGTCGGCGTCAGGTTGGCCAGTGGGACAATCGGCTCATGAATCATTCTACTACTCCTGCGCTAGAGTAGTAGGGACTCTCTCTTTTGGAATCACCACCATGGCCACGCCTCAAGGCAAAAGCTCAAGCTCAAGCTCATTCCAGTGAGGGCTAGAGCCAGAGCCAGAGCCAGAGCCAGAGCCAGAGCCCTAGCGGAGAACCATCTCAGGCTGCGTTCCGATCCGGTACAAATTCGTCTTAAACTCGTCTTGGGGAAGATTTAATTCCTGGACCTGACTCTTGGAAACCTGACCGAACAAGACCCTAGGCGATATCTGCTGCAAGAAAGCAAAGCGCAAGCACGGCGGGCGGTGAGGAATTGCCGAGCTGCGTCGGTGCATCCATGCCCATCCATCTGCATTGTACTGCGTACTGCCTGCACCATTCACGTTTGTTTCCAGGTCCATCAACACCTCTGTTCCGTAGTGAACCACGACTATCAATTCCTTGAATGGTTCACAAAAGGAGGCACTGATACCCATTCAAATTGCTACTTGTTGTCCACCATCACCTGGTCCCAGTGGAGCCTACACGGTCGTTTTGTTGTCAGTCGTCACGCTCAGTTTGTTCTTGATTGTCTGCACTGCACTGGTTGTGCTTGCCCGTCTGGTTCCCGCCATCTTTCCTCCTCCACTGAGGGGTGCGCCGATCTCTGTCTGTCCATCTTTCCTCATCACAGCAACACAACACAACCACATCCTTACCTCGTCACCTCGCGCCGATTCGACTTAAAAGTCGATCTGTCCCATATCATCTTCCAGGTAACTGCCCCCTGCGCATACAATTGCCCATCACATGGGCATCACTCAAAAAATACAAGCCACAGAGCTGACAGCATCTTGTGATCTTGCAGGTGGCGACGCGAGTAACGAGGCACTCTGCTTCGCCTTCCATCCTAGGTCGACCCGATTCAAGCTGATCCCAATCGATGGGTCATGAGCTGTTACGATCTCTATAGCACACGATACTGAAGAGGGTAGGAGGGGATAGGTACGAAGTTAATCAGTTGTAATGGCAGAAGAGGAAGTCGAGCTGAGCTCGCAATTGCTATCCAATGGCACATTAACGACCACGAAGCGCATGGTGGACATCATCCACTTCCACTACTCGTGGGTCTTGTTTGTTATTTTTCTCGTGGCTTTCATCGCCAACTCCATCCTAACCGCGGAACCTCCTGGAGAATCCAAAGAGCCTGTTCTTACCGGCCCTGGTGGAAAACCACTCCCACGATCTGCTCGAAAATATAAAGAGGAGCTGCAAAAGCGAAAGAAACTCCAGGATTTCAGTCCGGGACGAAAGTCATTGTTTTTGTATCTCTCCGCTGGCCTTCTTGCTACCTTTGTGGCAAATGGAACAAATATTGTTGTACATGCCCTTTATGAGCATGCTGCGTATGGCGCAGACGACAGTTGGTGGTGCGGTGAGGCAACGGCTGTAAGTTGGTCCCTTAAGTAGTCACACTTGAACCTTTGCTAATGAATGTCTAGATATATATTTGTGCTTCGGCTTTTTTCTACAGCATTGTCCAAATATCACTTGTCGATACTACCCCGTCGCCAAGTATCGTTCATCAGATTACTTGGGGTGTGGCGTATCTAGGAGAGCTTATCCTACTAATAGGCACTGTGATACTGTATACGTCCCCCCACAAGGAGCTCGAAATGCTTTCAGGCGCAAAGGAGAAATATGATCGACTGAATCAATGGGAGATCATTGAGCTCTTCCTGGATTTTGTTCGGGTGTTAATTCTCGGATTTCTGTTTGGATTCTACACTGTCTTCTCTCTGGAACGTATCTACAAGAGCAAGCGCCCCAGCGCGATTCTGGATGAAACGGCACCGCTTCTGGTCAATGGCCAAGCCAATGGCAATGGCAACACTCCAGGACATGGTTCAATCGTCACGTCTGAAGACGGCAATGGCGCCGCTGAGAATGGCACTGCTGAGAATGCCACCGCTGAGAATGGCACACCTGGTGGCCGCCGAAGCCCTGAGACTCCTGCTTTCTACAAACCAACCACCGTGCCCAATCGAACCTGGTGGGAATATATTAGAGGGTATTCTCTTTTCTTTCCATACCTATGGCCAAGTAGATCGGTTCGATTGCAAATTGTCGTCCTTATCTGTATGGCACTTATGTTCCTCCAAAGGATTGTCAATATCGCGGTTCCATTGCAGATTGGCAATGTTACAAATGAGCTGTCAAACAAAGACGGCAGATCGCGTGGAATGCCGTGGCTCTCGATTTCCCTTCTGATCGCTTTCCAATTCCTGCAGGGCACCTCGGGAATCCTCGGGGCAGTAAGATCTGTTCTATGGATTCCAATTTCTCAATACTCGTACAAAGCACTAACGACAGCTTCCTTCGAGCATGTCCATGGTCTCAGCCTCGACTTTCACCTGGGCAAGCGTACGGGCGAGGTTTTATCCGCCTTGAGCAAAGGCAACGCCATCAACAACTTTCTCGAGCAGATTACCTTTCAGGTGATCCCTATGGTATTTGACCTTGGTGTTGCTGTCGTATACTTTGGTATCGCGTTCGATGCATACTACGCTCTCGTCGTTGCTATCATAACCTTCTCTTATCTGTACCTGACCATCCGGATGGCACGCTGGCGTTCTGACCAGCGCCGTCAAATGACAAACCTGAGCCGGGAAGAGGATGCTGTCAAAAATGACTCTCTTACCTCGTATGAAACAGTCAAGTACTTTAACGCTGAGGATTATGAATTCAACAGATATCGAGTTGCCGTTACCGCTTTTCAAACGATGGAGTATAAAGTCACTATCTCCCTGAACATCCTAAACATCTCTCAGAATATGGTATTCATGGCTGGTCTGTTGTGTACTTCTTTCATCTCAGCATACCAGGTTACTACAGGCAAACGAAAGGTTGGCGAATTTGTCACATTATTGACCTACATGGCTCAACTTCAACAACCCCTGAACTTTTTTGGCTCGTTCTACCGGAGCGTTCAAAGTGCCATGATCAGTGGGGAGCGGCTTCTGGAGCTCTTCAAGGAGCAGCCAACGGTTTTAGATGACCCTAATGCTACCGCCATGCCAGCTTGCGAGGGACAGATCACGTTTCGCAATGTCAAGTTTAGCTATGATCAACGCAAGCCTGCATTGGAAGACCTGAGTTTTACATGTCGTCCTGGCACTACCACGGCATTTGTAGGAGAATCTGGAGGTGGCAAATCCACTGTATTTCGACTAATGTTCCGATTTTACAACGCCCAGGACGGTAGCATCCAAGTGGATAGTAGAGACATTAAGGACATCACCATCGATTCATTGCGTCAACACATTGGTGTGGTTCCACAAGATACCATTCTTTTCAACGAGACCCTCATGTACAACCTTAAGTATGCCAACCAGGACGCTACAGATGAGGATGTCTACGCCGCATGCCGAGCCGCTTCGATTCACGACAAGATCATGGCATTTCCGGATGGTTATCTGACAAAGGTTGGTGAGCGTGGCCTTCGTTTGAGTGGTGGTGAGAAACAAAGAGTCGCCATTGCAAGAACGATCATCAAGAACCCACGTATCATTATGCTCGATGAAGCAACCGCTGCATTGGACTCTGACACAGAGCAAAACATCCAAGAAGCATTGAGAGCATTGTCACAAGGAAGAACAATGCTTGTCATTGCGTAAGTTGACTGACCTCCGTATCAACCTCCTACCTTGCTAATATATTTCTAGTCATCGGCTGTCTACCATTACAACTGCAGATCAAATACTGGTTTTACATGCCGGCAAGGTTGCTGAATCTGGTACGCACCAAGAGCTCTTATCCATGAAGGGTCGATATCATAGCATGTGGAGAAAACAAATTCGTGCAGAACAAGCAGCGGAACAAGCATCTCGGGCTGTCGCCAAAGCCAATGCACTTAAGATGGCTGTTATGGAACGACCGGGCAGCTCTGGAAATGAGGCTGGCAGTGAAGACTTAAGCGAAAGCGAGGCAGATGGCCAGGTTGATGCCAATGCACCAACTGATGCCAAAGCTGCTTGTACCCCAAAAGGCTTGCCTTCCGTTGAAACATCCGTTGAACCTTCAGTTGAATCGTCCGTTGATCCTACAATTGAACCGTCCGTCAAACCGTCTGTTGAACCTTCTCCTGAAGTCAGGCTTTCAACAGCTGATACGTTACTTGATACCACGGCAGACCCTTGGGCCTCGTCTCCCTCATCCGATGATCATAAACCTGATGATAAGCCAGCTAATGGTGCATGATCTCATCAGCACGCTCGTTCCTGAGGGACTCGAAAAGGAGTGGAGAAGTTATTCGGAGTTAATATGGGGTGATTTTGTTTGTTCAGGTGTTACAACTGACACTATTGCTATATTCCTCGATTGGGGATAGAAGATCGCTTTCTCTTCTTGTTTTTACGAATTTCTTCTATAACATTGTTCATAATGAAGGGACGAAAGGGTAAAGGATGGCATTAAAATGGTGCATGAAGGGCGGCTAGCGATTGCTTTTCACTTTGCTTGGTACTTTTGGGCCTTTAAGCTCAATATAGATGGAGGGCGCTAAGGCTTCGCTGTATTTACAAAAATGGCGGTGGATGCAGTGTGCTCAAAAATTCACCGGGGCCGAAACTGGCTTTAGATAATAATCAAGATGCAAATCATACATAGGGTCTCAGAGAAAGAAACTCTGCAAGAATGAACAACAGGAAATTTGAGACTTTTCCCTTTTATTCAGTTTAACTTATGCTACACACATGTGCTCGCTGTACTCTGCAACTCCAGCGAAGCAATCTCCTTCCCAAGATGACCATAAACATGCAACAATTCTTCTATCTGTATTCTGGACGAACGAAATCGGCAAATGTCTTGGGCTCCTCATACCCGTGGCCGTGTCCATGGTCGTGGTCATGATGTGGATCATCTGCTGGCCCAACGTAATCCATCTTGTATACACTTCCGCACTCTGGGCATCGCTCAATAGGGCGGTCGCGGGACATCTTTTTGCGAGTCAGGAATCTACCAGTAATTTCACATAATCAGAAGGGAGAGTTATCATACCGTGAGCCAAATTACGACGTGAGAATCGGCTGGGTAACCGGTACAGCCTGCGTACTGCTCATCACCAAAAGACTTGACGGCAATTGGGTTATCCATTGTGCCTACACGGTCATCGTATCAGTAATTGAGCACCAATCTCTTGTCCTGCATCCATCCTGCTCCATGATGGGCGAGTTGTTGTTCGCCGGTAGTTCAAACGAACCTTTGCGAGACGCATCCAATGGCGCCATATCGAAAATATCTACTCCTTGCATTTTGCCGAGAATTTCCAATCGTTCTAAACCAGTTGCCTGCTCGAGATCGGTGGGGATTGTGCCTGGGACGGCTCCGGGAGGGATGAGATCGGCTTCGGTCTTGATGTCTGTTTGGTATCTTGATTAGCTCCCAATTCGCTCCATTGACTCCTCCGCTCGCTCGAAAGACAGCAGGTAGTGGGCGTACCTTGGAACTTCTTGATTTTGCCATCGTTAGATCCGCTGGTCGGCGTGGGAGCAGCTTCTCCTGTAGTTCTGGGTTAGAGGCTATACGGATTTCGGGGGGAGCGGGGAGGGCGTACGGCGCACGAAGGAAGTGGTAAAGCTGCGCTTGATTACGGGGCTGGCGACTGCGCGGCGGGCAGCTGTCACTGCTGTGCGTTGGAGGAACATGGTGGGTTGGGATATTGGGTGGTTTGGGGATTCTTGGACCCGTGGTATGATTTCCTTGAGGTTCAAGAACTAGCGATATGGGTCAGGTGATTTATAACCATGGGTCTTGATGTCAAAACGCCAAGAGATTACAACCAAAATTTAGGATACTACCTCACCTTGGTACCTATTTATTTCTTGGTTTCTGTGATTTGAAAAGCTTCCAAATCAACTGAGGCAATAAAAAGAAAATGGTGGTTTAGCCTGAAAATGTTGGCACTCAAAATTTGGAGCAGTTCGTACTTGTGGTAAATCATTTTGACAAGGGAAATGGATTTGATGCTCCGCAATCTCTTGTATCTCCAAAGCGCTTTAACAATTTGCAATCAAGTTTCCTATTATACTCAGATTATTCTCGCATAATATTTTTGAGAGAAAGGTTGATCAAATTCCCTTTTCAATAAAGTAACTACCTATGGAATGGGTAGCATCGCTTAATTCTGGTACTTGATCTGCTATAGAACTCTGCGCCTTGGCTCGAAGTACCTTTGAGATACTGGGTACCTTTCCATTACATCTGGAGGTCTTGGGCCAGTTTGGTTCTCTACTGGCAATCCTCTTCTGAGCTTGTGTGGAAATCAGCATATGTTTGTTATATGTAGCATTAGCGATGACATGGCCGAATCGATAAAATCCAGGGTTTCTGCTGTTAACGATATGTGGGTTCAAAGCTGCCTCAATAAGCACATCTATCTCTAACTTGTTAGGAAATTCCTCGGAAACCAGAATTTAGAGTCGCTCATCGCCTCGAAGTCCGGAAACTTTGAAGAAAACAACTTCAAGAAGTCCTGCACTGCTCAAGTGTAATTATCGATAGCGAATCTCTTTGGAGAAACAAATTCAAAGGAGTTTCCTGTATCTTTTTCATAGCTACAGTTGTTCCATCGGTTTCTTAAAACATTTTGTTGTTCAACTGTTGTTGATACATCGCGATGTTTTGTTTTAGGCGAGAGTTACGGAACGCGGAACGGACACTTCTATCAAAGTGAAAAAGTGAAAAAGTAAAAAACAGACTAAAGTTAAAATCCACTTTCCATTTTCTTACTAAGTAGTATAGGAATCGCTTTCATTATTTCAAAGGACAGTAGAATAAGCCCTTGTTTCCTAGAACTAGGTATATATTCGTACCTATCTTCGTACCCGTCTTCGTGCCCGTCTTCGTAACTATCTTCGTGCCTATCTAAGTATATAGAAGAAGGAATAGTAAAAGAAGGAGGGAAAATTAAGGCTATTCCAAGGTAGTAAGGGAGGAGTTCCCTAGGAATGTAGCTAAATTCCTCGACTTTTGTTTGGAATTTAGGTAGCCCGGTTATTTCAAGCCACATTCTAGTACATTTTAACTTCTTCTAACTACCTAACACCCTGCCGGCTTACTACCTGCCTACCTACCTGCCTGCCTACCTGCCTACCTACCTGCCTGCCTACCTGCCTACCACCTCCCTGTTCTCCCTTTACTCTATATATTATTAGGGCACTATATAGAGGCGATAAGGGGGACGGTAACAGGAGTAGTAGGTAGACAAGTAGTACTAGGTAGGTTGATTAAGACTTAAAATCCAAGGTAGCACGTAGTAGACAGGTAAGGAGGTACGAAAAAATCACGTATCTAAGGCTCTTTTAGTTAGTTTCTCACTTTTTCACTTTTCACTTTTTCACTTTGATAGAAGTGTCCGTTCCGCGTTCCGTAGAGAGTGGAAAGCGACATCGGATTCCTAAACTTGGGGCATCAGCAGCGCATCACATTCCTTTTCTCTTTTCTTCTTTCTTTTTCAACTGCGCTCTAATATCATCCGCTATTAGTATTGATGGATTTCATGACTTGATACTTGTAACGTTTCTTTTGTCTTTTGAGTCCTCCCCCACTTGGACTCCAAGGTACACTTTACACACTACCTAGCCTGTAGAATCAACTGATTCCGTCTCAATAGGAAATTACTTTACTAGAATAGATCAATCTGCCCTTATCAAATAATACAGTTAAACAAGTTTTGAGCATAGAAAGACTACTTACAGAGGTTTTCAAAATGCTATAGTGTTACAACAAGCGCACTATGGATGGGTCTGTAGGAAAGTCACACGATATAATATATATCCCAGGAGCTAGAGAGTATCGCAAACATCTCTCAAAACAACACTATACTACATGCTTTTTGAAGAATCGTGCTAACATGAATCAACCGTATTTGACTAGTTTTAACCATTGTTCAGTCACACCGCCACATGGTCTTTGCAGTAGTATACTTTTATCTGTAGTCGGAAAGGAATATTTTTATATCGTTGTATTTTAGATACAGCCATTTCTCTACGAATTGATAAGTTTGTCGGAAGAGCTGTCTTAGTTTATAACTCTGAGGTACTTAGCATGTACTCTCGTATGGGTGTCGTAAACTAGCTCTTCTATTAAGTCCTTGAAGCCCCGGAGCCTTTTTCTAGTTAGCTCAAAATATATATTACCGCTTTTACCACGTACTCGGAGCGGGCCTTTACTTACTACTTACTCAGCAAGTTCCATACTTCTTCTTCAACCTGTAGTAATTAGGATAGCTAATTCTACAATCAGTTGCTAAAGTATACCAGATCCCCCAATTGCGACTCTGTTAAATCACTTTATTGTGATTATATTGATTTATTCAACTTACCTCTATCATAGTCGCTATTAAATTATCCCTACTCGAAAGGTTTAACATGAGTTAAATCTAGCACTCGCCGGAAGATGAAACTCGGCATTTGGCATTGTCATTCAATGGTTTGAGATTATACAGACAGCACTCCGCCTTTCTCACTTCCGAAGTGGCTAAAGTTCAAAATGGAGGTTCTCTAATACATAAAATTCCGATTCCCGTCTCGAGTTACCTTAAAGTTCAAACACACTCGAGAATGTAAATAAGTCATGTCCTATGAGCAATTCAAATGGCACATTGAAGCCTACAACGTCGAGCAGAAGGCGACCGTTGAAACATTCGAGGTAAATCTATTCACCGGGAACAAGTCACACATTCTGGCGAATGGGAATATTCAAGGTGCAAACGGGAGTTGATCGAATTTCGCCAAACTTCTTTCTTTTCAAGGGAGAAGGTTTCCCGAGTCGCTAAGGCGATTGTTATTCAGACTACACCTGACTCAACTAGAAACTCTCGCACTAGAGAGAGGAAGCTGACGTAAACGATCTCCTCATTTTATTTCTATACCTAGGTATCTTTTAGATAATCCCTGCAATGACTCCTTCACTCTCGGTTGAATGTGTTGATTACCTAGTCAAACTGGTTAGAGTAACTCAAATCCGTTGAATTAAACTACGATTATATTAGAGCTATGTGCTGTAGCCATTGTTTTCTACAGCGAAGGGCCCTCGCTGTGGGGGGTTCTTCATGGAAAATACTTTTTTGGGCCTCGCTTAAATAATGGGAGTCCATGGGCGACGACGATTTACAAACGGCTACCAAAACACAAAAGCTAGCATGCCGCCAATACATTTTGTTTTCTTGTGCTAGGTATATAGAATTCGATAAGATATGGAGAGTGAATTTAAGCGCATCGTCTGGAACATAACGACTTTCACAGGAGCAAAAGATTCCCAAAGGATATCGATCTGGAAAATGAAAACTCATAGTACCCATTGTAAATCCATGCAAAGACAATCTGGGTGCTAGATCTAACCGAGTCTTATATTGATCACGGGGTTATTAACAAGCTTAAGTGTTTCCATTAATGGTTCTCCTCCTAAGCTCGTTGCGATTGATTGCAGCCGCACACCTAACAATAAGTAGGTAAGATCTTACCTACCTAAGTAGGTAGGTAGTCAAATCTTGACACCTCCTAATCGACGAAAAAGTCTCTTGCTTTGTATGCTAATATCTAACTCCATGCAACATGCCTCTCTTCATGTTGGTGGCTTTTGTATCCCTACGTATGGTAATTCTGCCTTTTTGTTCTGTGTGGTTCTCAAGAGTTCCCAGTAAGTACATTAGAGGAAACCCCCATTTTTGAAATCCGCAGTACTACTGTTGTAGGGAGTCGTAACCGCTATAAGCTTTTACAACAGAAGCAGAACTATTGAACGACGGTTAAATAGCGGTTATAAAATTACAACGGTTATAGAAATGGGGCTTTACTCTAAGGTAGGTAGGTAAGTACCTATGGCCGTTGGCGAGGACAAGTCGCGCTTTCCCTGGGTCAGTGTGTTGTCGAACGTGAGCCTCGACTGACGCGACCCATTGCTCCTTCCTCAATTTTAATGTGAATGAAAGGTCAACTGTCCAACCACCGGACCCACCACGCTACTGTTAGCGCGGAGTATAACCCCCCCCCTCTTTTGCCCTTCCAAGGTTCTCCCTAAAACTTCCTTCCGGAGGCGGGCGGTGGTGAAGGATAAAGGCAGGCGGGCAGGTAGGTACCTACCTACCTAGGTGCGCTTTTAGAACCGCCATACAACCGTCGTTGTAAGTTTACGCAACGGTTGTGCTGCCGATAACTTCGCAACAACGGCTTTAGATATAGGCCGTTATAAACAATCAACTGTCTATATCTATAGCTGGATGACTTCATTACAACGGTTACCATTTAAAGCGGTAGTACAACTGTATTAATACCGTTTGATATATGAGGGTTTTCCTCTAAGGTATGTAAGGTGCGATCGTAGAGGGACTTAGGTTGTAGAAGAATTCATACGCTCTAGGTCCAAATAGAGAAGCGAAAACTTTACAGACTATTGAACTTTGATCGAAACTGTTCATCCGCTCCACACATGCTATACGTACCTAGGTACTAGGTACTGTGATCACAGAGCGTGAGAGTTATGGTCATCAGTCTGCCCACCTGCGTCTTGGTATACGTACCTAGCTTCCATTACCCCTTGTGGCATATGTCAATCAGGTCTACCTACCTAGGTACTGTTCTAAGAATTCTAGCACATTATGTTCTCATAGAAATTCGCGAAGTAATGGTGGAATTCCACATTTTTTCCGTGTTACCAGCTTATGTCCATAGGTAGAGACATCCATGGACGAAATCAATGACTAGAAGCCAGTTCGAGAACTCCTAAATCTCAACGCGCCCCGTTATGCATGAGACAAATATGTACGACCTACTCCGAGAAAAGCTGGCTTGTGGGATATCGATACGTACTCGTACTGGGAAAGTTACGTAAAGATGAGTAGGTATGTAACGCATAAGGCCGATTCCACCAGAGAGGAAGCAAGTGGCAACTTGGAAAGCGTATCGCCAACGTCCAGCAGCAAAGTTGAAACCTCGAGCGCATTCAAGGAGGCCGGACAGGACAGGTTATTCCACGATCCAATCTGAAGAAACTCCTACATCCTGAAGAAATTTCTACCTAGGTAGTCTCGAATATATCAAACAACGGAAGGAACAGCACAGGGGATAGCATAACTGTAGTAATATCATGCAAAGAACGTGGTACTGAAAGAGCTGTATTATCGAAACATTCTTTGATCCTGAATGGTATTCTGGAGCCAATCTTACGGCATACACCGGGTATCTAGGTACTTTCCAAGGTCAACGAGCGTCAGAACGAGTCCTCGCCTAAATGCTGAGGAGTCATAGCAGCACTAAAAACAACAGAACCTGCTGGCCAAACATGACCTCGTCTCCTTACTTGCGGCAAAGCAAGTTGAGGGTAGTTCTTATAAATCCCTGAAAGCTCCATGGCATCAGCAGGCTTGCCACGAGAGCAGACGCCTCAAAAGACCGCAAAATCTCTGAGAGGATGCGTCGAAATGAGGCTATTGTTGGAAGGGCTTTCTAGAAAACATTTGTTTGGTCAAGAAGTATTGAGCCAGCCCGTCGTGCACGGCTTGTTTAAATTGCCTCGTTTTCTATCTCTTACCAGCGAATCGGCAAATCGTTTCTTGCCTCTTGAACAAATCTCCATGTACAGTAAAGTACTCGAATACCAAAGAACTCGCTGCAGTTGCCAGCCAGGGATTCCAAAAATGCATGGCCATTGCAACATGACCATGCCATGCTTGATCTGGTATCGAGATTTGAAGTTTCGTTGCGGCGTTGCCTGCCTTGTTTCTGCATCGGATGCGTTCGCAGATCACTCAATCCACATCCGCCCTCACCCTATCAGTGTTTATAACTCACGCCCTGGTTTGTACAGACCAGAATACCTACGGTATCGACATGGATACGTCCGCTTTACACGTCATTTCGGTCGCCAAATCCCAGGATTATTTGATTTTAAAATAGAAAGCGTGAGCACCCATCCCAAGCAGGGGATTTGCGCAATCGTTGCACTGCTGGGACCAGACGACGGAGATGACCTTCTCATCCAGCACCAGCCATGTCGCGATGCGAACCACTTCTGATCGCTAATCGCTTGGAAAAGCCGTTGGGTTCCAGAAAAGGGGGGAAGAAGTTGGTGCACGGTTCGGTTTGAAGCAGGTCACCCAATGGACTCGACTTCGACCTCGCACCAATTCGATTTTCGTCTCACTCATGCGGCCGTCTCTGCGACCAGCGATCACGACGAAGACGAAGACGATGGCCCTGCATCTGCATCTGCAACCGGCAACCCAGTCCACGCTCACGACCAGCCTGTTTCTGACCATTTGGAATGCAGCCTTGCCTTGCCACCTGCTGGCCTGGCCACTCGACGTGATGCATGTCCGGCCCCTGAGGTGATGGTGATGACTGACATCCCATCCGGCTCGCTGTGCACGCTACGCTACTTACTCCCTACCAAGGTACCACCAGTACCTCTGCCCTGTGCCTGTCCGGCTCGAGATGAAGAGGCCTTTCGGGGAATTTGACCAGTAATCTATTCTCCAATCTATTACCCAGCCCACAGGGCGAGATGAAAAGACAATCTACAGGCGATGTCCATCTCCCCCGCATGGAGAGGGAAGAGGTCACAGGACACATTCAAAGGCCCCAGAGGCCCAAATGCGGAGTGCGCTCCTCCCTCGCTTGCCGCCAAGACAAATGTAACGACATCCCTCCAACCTCACCCCATCACCGCCAAACATTGAAAAACTACAACACGACCACGATACAACAGCCCTAGGAATTCAGATCTACACATGTTTAGTTTCCTTTGACGAACTGCAATTGTCGAACAAGAACCGTCTTCAAAAAACCTTGTAGGCGGCGCGTTGGACGTAAGCGAAGGGAAAAGAAGAAAAACGATGGCCAACGCATGATGGTTATAAAACCCATCTTATGCCTTTAACACCCCTCCCACATTCTACCATTCATGAGCCCCGGCAGCCGCCCTCAGCACCACCGACCATTGAGGAGCGGCAACGAGAATTTTTAGAATCACAAAATTTCAGATAAAAAACATATGCGAAACCGGTTACTCAGGTCTCTCCTCACTGTCCACTTGGTAACGATAGAACCACCAGCATATTTATTTAGCCACCGCAAACCCGCCAGAGAATACCTGCGATAGGCTGTGATCTGCCGGCATTATGGGAGATTTACTTCTCTTTAGTCGGCTTCTGTCAAAAGCAGTAAGACAAAGCTGGAATATCGTGAAGACCCCTTGTACGTTACCTGCGCCAGGTTAGCAAAATCCCATGTGGGGAAGTAGAAAAGCAAAAAGAGACCCCAAGCCACCTCTCAGCACTCGACACGTCAGCTTGTCATGATGTCTTGCTAAGCCGTAACACATCTCTTCTCCCTCAAAGTTGTTGCTTCGATCTCGGCAACATGAGCTTTCTGGCCGACTGAATCGGATAGATCCTTTGAAGCGATGACTAGTGCGATAGCCACAGCCGGCAATGTAAAATTTGCTCTCCCAGGATACCTCAAATGGCATGCGTTGCGTGTTTACCTGGGGCATCCAATAGAAAAGGATAAGAGGTCTAAGTCTCTCAGCCCCTACTCCCAGCCAGACAAGAATATTTCTGGTAAACCACAATCAATCCACCTTTATCAGCCAATCCACAAATCTGTCTGTGAACCAGAGTAGTCCGAACGAGCGCAAGACTTCTTCTAATTCGCCTCCACCAACAGAATCATTGACCTTGAGAAATGTCCTAATAAATAAGGGCCGAGCCCAAATCCTTGATTCACCAACCGAGTCTCCCTCTCTCTCCTCGTCCTCAATTCGCCACTTCCAACAGACCGATGTAACCCCACCTCCAGAGTAAGATGCCGGGCGCCGCATCAGGTTTCTACCGCACCTTACCGCGAGTTGCGGTGTACCGATCCGGTGTGAAAATTTTGAGTCACCGCAGGAAAAAAAGTCTCAAGGGAATTTTGCTACCGTATCATATGCCTCCAATTCGGGGTTTTCGGCACAGCAAGAATTCTGGAGATTCGTCAGCGCTTCATCGTTTTCAAACTCACAATACATCGCTTGGACATTAAGGAAGAGACGGTGAATTGCAAACCTGGTCCCGCGCCTTCCAAAAGTGTTGTGCAGCGGGATCAAGAAGGAGTATTAATTGTATTTCTTATCAGTATAACTAATCTATCGTATGTTTGATATATATATATATTCGCGCATTTCATCTTTTTGCCCATGTCTTATATCTTTCCTTTCCTGTCCCCATATGTCCCCCCTTGGCGATACCGTCCATCATCTCTTCGTATATTCCCAGCCGAATATCCACCCAACAATAAGTACAGGAAGAGACCAAGAGAAAAAGATAAGGCCTCGTATTATCCCACCACAAAAAGTATATATGGAGAAATATAAGTAATAGAATATCGTAAACAGGACGAGAGCAAAATCGCTAGTGGTTCGGGGTATAGTCTTTGCGCAAGAAACAAGGAGGTGATAAAATCAAAAAACCAGAAACCAAACAGAACAAGGAAATTAGTGATGATGCAATGAACAAAAATGACCGCTTTCCCCTGCGCCTCGCTGTGCAATCCCCTCCTATTCCTATTTTTTTTGCTTTGCGCATGTGGTGTAGGCAGAAGAGGAGTGCCCCGTACATATATACCTCGGTGCAACTAGGACCTTTCCAAGTAACGCCTGCCTTCCATCATGTGCCAAAGGTGGTGTTGATTGATTAACAACCCAACCCATGTTTTTCCATATCGTTCGTTTTCACCGCCATTTTGATAATCCATCCAGCGGAAGAGAGAGGAATGGGCCAAGAATATTAGAAGAAGTAGTTGTCTTTAGTCGAAGTCGTTGTCGTTGCAAAATGTACTGTTATGTAACGAAGGAAAAGATGTGTGATGTGAAAGTACGCGCCCCAGTCGCGAAGTGATCTTAAACAAGTGCAGTCGTATATAGTTATGTAGTTGCTCCTAGTGGAAGGAGCTTGACAAGAGGATGCTCGTCAGGATTGTCGTAAGGTGACAGAGTTTAAGTGATTTGACGGATTTCGGATTTGAAGGAGAACGTCGGCCTGAGAGCTAGGCGATCGATTACATCGAGAGAGTTCTCAATGCTCTGCTGCTTTGAGCTAATATTCGGTGTCCCCAGGATCAGAAGCGGGTGCTTCTGCTGGAGACGCTGAATGCTATAACTCCATAGCTTTCTCTTTGCAAGCAGCAGATGTAAAGCCTGTGCCCACCTTTTGTGCCACAATACGCCACTTCTCTTGCTCGTAGTCATGAAGGGCAGTGCGAAGTTTTTGGATCTGATGAAATTATTAAAATAAAGAACTCAAGGTGTGGTGTTTTGAAACTTACAGTCTCGTCAGTCCATTGCGTTGTCTTCGCTTTCAACTTTGTACAATAGCGAACTTGCAATGTGCCTGAAGACCGTCCTGGAAAAAACTCCGCAATTTGCTTCCACGTCAGATTCTTGTTCTCCTTCAAATCCACCAGCTTTTGGTCGTCTTCGGGAGTAAATTTTAGCTTTGGCCCACGCGGCCGCTGAGCGGGCTCTGGCATATCTGGATGCCCTACCATACTGGGGGCTCCCCCAGGTGGCGGTGACAGCATGCTTGAACTATGCTCATCTCCGCGAGCTCGTTTTGGGGGATGGAGAGACGGTGGGAGCGGATGTCCATGGAATTGCTGTTGTGGAGGATGCATGGACGAAAATCCCTCCATCGGCGGTGGTTGCATGTGTGGGGGCATCGACATGTCTCCCATTTGCGGCAGTGGCAACCCCATCTCCTGTAAATCATCATCGTCTCGTGGTCTCTTGATTCCGGAAGCTGATGGCATCGGGCGTGGTGGTCCAAACATCATATGGGGCTGCCCACCACCATATTGAGGTGATTGATGGTGGGCCATTTCGGGTGCCAGCGGCCCCGGATATGCTTGGTGTTGCGAATGAGCTGACTGCTGATGATGTTGTGGATGTTGCTGCCCTCCGTAGTGTTGTCCATGAGGTGTACTGAGGCCTTGACCGGTTCCGTGCTGCTGAATTTCTGAATGAGACCCGAAGACCCTCTCCTCGGCATGAGACTCGGATTGAGGAACATAATCGATATATGGATTTGGATTTGTATCGTGGCCTGGCCGATACCCAGACATGCATGGATTCCGCCACAACGAACTGCTTTCGCAGGTCGCTGGGAGCACACTTTCTACGTCCTGGATCACTGCTGGGCCGTGTTAGGTTTCCACGGGGCTGGTTGATGCGGTGTTGGTTCTTTGTTTTTAAGTGCAGTGCGACTTTTCGTGTTTCGAAGCCCGTCTATATAATGCTGTTATATAGGTTGAATATCAGTTTCCGAGCAGAGCATTTGATAGGCAAATGCAATGGGACTCGAAACAAAAGGATCAACCTTCTTCCGTGAGGGACGCTGTCGGTAGTCGATAAGGTGGTATAGGAACAAAAGTTGTGATAGAGCAGAAGGCTTTTTCTAGGGAGGGCATGCCTTTGCATTATATCTATCGTCTGATCTTTGTGTGGCATTGACCAGATCTGGGCTAGTAATTAAAGGTGCAGACGAGTATGGAAATCCATCCAAGCAGATCAGTGATTCGCCATGGACGAGACGATTTTTGTGTTGAACAACAGGGTCAGAGATGCATGTGGAGCGAATTTTTGGGGGGACATCAATGCCCTTGGTCACCCACGACCGGATTTGGATGTCCAGCAGATTCCAGCTTGGTGAAATCCCGAGCCGGTTCTTGCATGGGGGACGAGGACGGGGAGGGGCATCACGGGCATGGAGGGGGGAGTTTCTTGAGAATTTGATATTGTGGACAGGCAAGTTGCAGGCATCTAGCGGCTTCCTGAGTGGTTGTCCCGCGTCGACAGCTGGCCCACCAGCATGAGGGATAGAAGTCTGCATAGAAGCTTCTGAGACACCATCTCCTTTGCATCTCGACACCGATGTTCTGTGAGTGTTGGGCAATGATGCTGAAACTGGACCCCTGGACAGCTTGGGGGAGGTGGATAGGTGCGGAGGCTTGCTAGCGGGACATCTTAATTCTGTCAAGCACAGGCATTGTTCGGCACAACAGGGATACTTCCCAAGGTTGTTTCGCCTTACAGGGTGACCATGAAGGAGGTGTACAGCAGTTGGGGGACAGCATCAGGGCCAGCAGCGCGGCTGCTTTCAAAGGTGCAGTGGCAGCGGGATCTCCAGAGCAGAAGACGTCTTCTCTGCTTCGTACGAGTACAGCTCTCCTCTGGACGGTCTCGAGGCTCGCTGCTCTTCCAGAGACTGGAGAATGCAGGGGTGAACGGGGCACCCTGGCACCCATCAAGGGAACAGCGCAGGCATTGTTTTCGGAAGCGAAAAGATGTTAATGCACCGGGATCTCGGTATATTGACAATTGGGGCTCGCGTGCAGTGGGGGCAGCCATAGGTCAACGACCTCTCTCGCACGGAAATGAAGAAATAATGCAGCCAAAACAAGTTGAAGACGAGAGAAACATCAGAACATACGGGCCCAGAGCAATTACAATTCAGTCGCGTTGACCCGAGAAATGGAGAAGAAACAAAACGCCCAGCGGGCCTTGGAAATTCCGCATTCTAGCTTTACGAAGGAGCATCTCCAAACAAGTCCAATCTTTTGGGCAGTGAGAATGAGATGTGTCAAAGACTCAAAGGGCCGATGAAGACGTGACTTCGACGGGCGTCTATCAAACGATACAAAGCATCATATGGCCGGTCCCGAGGTGTACATCATGGAGGCCTCGAAGCATCCGAGGGACCAGTAGACGCGGCGGCAATGCAGGCTCGTCTGATGGAAGGCCATGGCTGATCGCATCGTCAGCGACTGCAAGATTCGAGATGGGATTTCCGCTGCCCTGGCCCTGTCTAGACTCTTGTCACTCTGACAATCTGACCGGGAGCAGCGGCAATATCGAAAGTGTAATATTAACGTTTTATGCTGTCGTCTTGCGGTGACATCCTGGGACCCGGGCGAAGTGTCAACGCAACGACGTGTGGTGGAGCACTGCTGTCGATGGGGCTGGAAAATCGAGGTCCTCTGTACGAGGATCATGACGAAGAATCGGGTCGACCAAGTAGAGGAGAAGCTGCATCCGGATTGGGCTCGAGCCTCCTCCGTGATCCCATCATGCCTTCTGCCCTTCCTCGTCCGCCCTCCCACGCTCTTTCCAGCATCAGCGTCTATTCTTGGGGACGGGGACGGTTGAGGCGTCATGGCGTGGAGTGGAGTGGCGTGACGCGGCATGCTAGTGAAAGTGAGATTCCAATAATTCGGGAGGGCCACCAGAAAAAGAAGGTCATCAGAATAGACAGCGAAGACTCAAGAGAAGACTTCAGCGGAGCCGGACCCGGAGTCTGAACCTGAGCCCTACGATGCGCGAAAAGTCGCCGACGCGAGGCAGAGGGCCAGAGGAGACCATCTCCTTTGACTTTCATCCATATTTGTCATTGTTTCGTGGTGCCGGAAAGCTTGTCCTGGTCGCCGGCATTCGTACCGCAAAAGAGCAGCCACGGACTGTGCAACTTGGGGCTTGAGAGCGACATCGAGACAGCCAAAGGAATGGACGAACTCGATCATCAACGTTGGGCGTCGTGAGCCCATCGAGTCAGGTTGGTGGAAATGTTACGGATGCATGAGTTCAGTGTTTCGTGCTGGTTTGGCGGAGAAAAAAAAAGCGAACATGCAGTGACAGCGGGAAGAGGCTGGCTTTGCGGGGAGAGGGAGCCTTTGTCGCTGCCAATGCATAGAGACAACGATAGACCTGGGCACTGCACCGTCCGGATACGAAAAGAGCCTCAGAAGCGAGTTTATACTTAGTAAACAAAGCTTACAAGCCGGTACAGACTAACTACCAAGTAACTCGGTACTCGTATCGCTTTGCCGACGACTATCAATATCATTCCCATCCGCCATTCTCCATTTATTTTTCATCTAGTAGACTTCCACTCAGACCAACGATTTAGACGAGAAAATCTAATTACAGACTGACTTTACCAGAGACATCACATCTGACCAGCTTTCCCTACACCATTTACAAAACCTTACTCACAATACTCGTACCTTAAAAGATTAACGCCTAACTTGCATCACCCCCCTCTCCCCTCCAACTCGGATCACGGCTCCTGCATAACTGCATTACTTGCTGCACATCTCACACTGAGATCGTCCCTTCCGCCAGTGGCAACCCCGCCAAACCTCTTAGAAAACATTCCGATACGCCGGTAAATCTGCACGCCTAGAAAATGACCTACCTACCCGCCCAGCCCCAACCGCTTGTGCATGAACCGAGAACCTCACCGCATGGCAACTCCATCATCCGAACTGGAACCTCCCAAAGCCCAGTGTTACAACACTTCGTTAAGAAAGCCAGAGTCAATACGAAGTGTCTATCATCGTTTGAATCATGTTACCGATCTATAGTAAAAGAACGCCTTATTAAATCGTTATCCTAGAGTTCCACAGAGAATCAGTTGGACAGTTTGATGCACACCAAGTAGTCTGCATATGAGAGCGTTATAGACGCAAACTTCAGTGACAATCGCAAGAACGCACCCCCGAACCACGCTTTACAGGCCTCAAAAGACAAACTGTCGATCAATCACGTACACACAAACTTTTACACTCGCAGGCGACCGAGACGACCCGTGAGAATAATAAAAATTTATGCTTAAAATCTATAGACAAGACACAATAATACAACAACCCCCGCTCCGATAAAACGCCTTTTACCAAGATTTCGTACACGGCGCCTCAGATCGTCGAACAACGCAGAAATATCTCTCCCCCCAACCTTTATTTTCCTGCAATGATCATGTCATTAAAAGATTCTGCTACCCGGAAGATAGCATGCGCGATACAAAAAGAGAACTTTAAGCAAAAGCGTCCTCGCGATCTGCCCACAGATTCTCCAACTCGGCAAAGTTTTGGAAGTGAAGTGGCCGATGCTGGTCGCTGTAGAATGGCAGTGGTGTATCAATCTTGACATGCACTGGCTTCTTCTCCAGTCCTCCGAAAGCACTCCCCATGAAGCTGTAGTTCCACGTGTTGTTCTCAGGTACGAGGAAGTAGCCTCGAATCTTGTCACTGAGTAACAGCTGACATTTCTCGCCCATGTTTGTGCTGAATCCTTGAGGTTGATCACTGCCCATATCCTTGTTTTCTGCACCCCATTTGTAACCGGCAGGAGTAAGGGCCCACGATGCAAGCGACACACTTCCAGGCGTAAAGGATACCGTCATACTAACCGTTTTCTTATCCCAAGACTTGTGTGCGTTCATGAGTCGTGAATGTTGTGTCACATCCATAGCACTCATGTACGGTGGTTCGTTACCAGACACCGTATGAATGATTCCGAGAGGCTCCATCTGATCAAGGTATTCATGCTGTGGAAGCTGCTGGGGGAGCTGTATATCCCTGGTATTACCAATCTGAGGTACCATGACTATGCATCTGATCTCTTTGACTTGGTCATTGTCAGGGGGGGACGATCCATACAGGTAGCCAGCGACCTGAACCCGTAGATCCGCGATCGTGATGAACCGCTTCAGAATGTTCTTAGGCATGATATAAGTGTAATGATCGTCTTCCTTGATGTCGTCGGATGAAATGTAGATATTATTTGCTCTCGTCCGGAGATTAGAGGTTGCAATAGCCCGGGTTCGCCACTCGGTCTTCGATGCAAAGGTCTGCTGCTCAAATTGAGAGGTGGTTGTCACGATAATGTCTTCACCGTGAACATTCTGGGTCTTGGTCGTTACGGCGGTGAGTTGCTGCTGTTCTTGCTGTTGCTTCTCGATCTCAGCTGCCTGTTGACGTTGCATTGAAGGGGCGCTGATCTCCATTCCGAGGATGATATCTCGGACTTCGCTGCTTGTCAAACTTGATGTGTTGACATTGTTCTTTTTGCCGTAGTCATTCAAAATAAGATCTCGTAATTGTGTTTCTACCTTGATCCAATCGTCTTCTGTCAGAGTCGGCCAAATATGATGGTCTTGGGTGATGACAGTTTTGTCTGGTCTCAAAAGTAGCTTCGTTTTATCTTGATTCACGTGGAGTGCACGTAGAATCAAGATCAGACGAGAGAAGGCTGTGTAAGACGAGATGGACTTCAACCATTCATCATACAAGTTGAAAAGGACCATTTGAGGTTCAGTTGCGCGGAGAATCATATCACCAAGCTTTTCTACCTTCATTGCGGCCTGGAAAGGCAATTGGAGTTCGGAAGCTCGGATCGAAATATTGGGAAAGTCAAGCAAATGAACTTCGAGAGGATCAAGCAAACCCTTTCGAGTGACGATAAGTTGCTTGGGCTGCTCTTCGATTGGCAATGAACGAATGAGAGCAGCGACTTCTTCGGCAGTCTTCCATTTAGCCAGTTGACCGAGACGTTTCTGACCAGCCCAAACACTGGTATGGATGATTTTCAAGAAAAGTTGTCCAGTTCTCGGGTTGAAAATGAAAATAGCACCATTGATGGGTTTCGTTGTCAGATTTCCTTCGAACGTTTTGTGAATTGTGACACGATAGACATTAGTATCATCGATGAAAAGTTGGATCTGGTTGCTGAAAAGTTCCGAGTAATTCTGGGAGTTCAAAAACTCTTGATTACTTTCCGATGCATAAAGTTGTAGACCTTTACGAATTCTTTCACGCAAAACGTACAAAGCAGGATTTGCCTTCATAATTTTTGCCATTGCCTGCTGGACGAGTGTTTTCAAACCAGGGAAGTATTGACCATAAGCGGAGTAGAGATTATACGCTAGATCAATTCCGATCATGAGACCTGTGGCGGAGGGGTATATACTCATGCTATCGGTTGTGTAATCCAAATACTTGGCACGCACGTACCGTTCGATATCGTGAGAGTCGTAATCTCCATAACGAAGCTGTACATCGACCCAGAACTTGTTTGTCGTGGTTGGCTCAATGACATCCTTGGTATCGAACAAAATCGATGGACGTGTAACGTTCCACTTGTGGCTTGCGAAGAGCAGAATGTCCGCGCAGGAGCTGTTCATCTTGTACGACTTTCTGGGATGAATAGTCTCCTTTTGAACAGTCTCAATACCCAATTGCTCCAACTCTTGGTCAAAAACCTGACACAAATCCATCACCACAGATTCGTGAATCTTTTGCCACAAATGGGCTCGGAAAATTTGAATAAGGGAGATCTTCAACGTCGGGATTTTACCGTGAAGGAAGATACCAGTCAAGTCCAATTGAACCTGGAAACCAACGTAAACATTGGCTCTGTTGATTGTAGGTGACCACCACAGAGTAAATCGACGGTTCGGAATTTGGTTAAGACCGGATCTTTGAGCGTTCGTCAATTTCTTAAATTTCATGGATTCCTTTAAAACATTCGAATTAGTGTGCTTCTTTGGGAACAATCAGGGGCAAAGGGGATCAGGGGCAAAGGGGGCAATGTTACCTCGAAACCGGATGCCTTTTCCCAAAAGAGACCTTCCCAGGACGGAAATGCGGTAGCTTTGAATAAGGTATGCTCAAGAATCGTTTCAACACCACCCAAGGCTTGGATGACATCCGTTCGGTACGCATTCAGGTTCCACAATTTTCCGTCGTGACGTTGACTGGTCCACCAGAAAGGATTACTCTTCATTAACTGGTAAGTTTTGAACTCGGTACGAGCACGGAAGCCTTTGTCAAAACTCAACGTGCTTCGATCTTTTTGGAAGAGAGTGTTGATACGAGGTAAACCACGATCCCAGCTATCTTCCAGGTCCTCAAGTGTGAGTCTACGGTTTTGCTGGTTCGCTTCTTGTCTTTTTTGCGAATACTCTGTCCACACTCTTTGAGAATCAATAAACTCAGCCTCCCAGGGAATAATGTATCTGAAGATATTGGGGATCAATGTGTCTTCATCGTGAGTCATTCCTGCTCGGTAATGTGTTACACCCACGTCTGTCTGTTTAGACCAACGCTTATCACTCGTAGGAATAAGAATGTGTGACCCAGAAATCATCCCCAGGCCACCAAGTTCCTTAGGCGTATAGAAGACAGCCGGTGGAAATCGAGAAGGCATCTTGGAATTCAGCCCAATTTTGACTCTGGTTTGAATCTTGGTCTCGCATTTGACAATGGTATCAAGAAGGTTGACTGTCGAAACTGCCGCCTCGCGATAGTATGTGAACAACGCAATCAAACTGGTATTCCATTTGTTGGCAATCTTAGTAAATGTGGTCGATCCAGATGACATTAGAATTTGACGAATCCGGTTGTTGAATTTTGCGATATCCTCCTCAGTGACCTGGAGGAAGGCATGCGCTGTTCTCTCCTTGCTGGTATTGTCAACGAGTGACCAGACACTGTCTTTGACCGGGAATTCGTCGTTCTGATTACGGATCTTAGGCAAAATGCGCACCTCGAAACCACACATTGAGAACAGTAGGTTAGGATTGTCTCTGCTGTAGACACTAGAAAAGGTGTCATCCCACTCGATTGTGGTAACAGATCGAGGTAAGCGGTTCTTCAAGTCCCAAAACACCGCACGACCGAGATTGACATCGTGCCTCATGAGCCGCATCCGTGAATCTCTTGGCCAGCACTTCTTGTTTTTGTAACCAATAACATTCTCAAAATTTGGATCCGGTTGCTCAGTTAAGAATCTTTGAATGAGGTCACGAGATTCATCCGCGGAGAATCTGAAAAACACCCAAATGCGATCGATGTATCTCGTGTAGAGTCTGATGGGGTGTCTTGTCTCAGTCTCGCGATCTCGGAATTGCAAGAAGTCGTTGGGGCTCTGCGGTGGTCCAGCAATTTCACTCGCACGCTGTAGTCCAAGAAGGAGCAGATCAAGAACCAGTCCATAGTATTGGAAAACGAATGCAGAAAATTGAAGACCACGAATCATACCATAACTATTGACGTGGTTCATATCCTTGTAAGTGAGTTGGACGTTATTCTTCGAAGAAATGTAATCAGCAAGATTGTGATCCATGATAAGTCTGAGTAAGCGGTTGAGAAGTGTTAGATCAATTTTCTCGTAGACTTTGGAGAGTTGGGTCTCGATCATAACGTTGCATTCTCCATCGGCGGTTTCCCAAACTTTGTCGAGGTTATTGATGCCTTGTGCCCATTTGTATGTGAGCAATGGGGGAACTTCCGAGTCAGATGGTTTGATCCAAGCTGGGAAGAGATGACGCTGGTCTGCTTGATACCAGAGATATTGATCAAGATAGGCATCGCTAATTTTCTCAACAGGCTCAATGTCGTAGACGGGATTGATAGTGCTGTAATTATCATTCATATCAATGCCCACTTCCTTGAAAGCTCGTTGAGTGAGTAAAAATCTCTTGATTCTCTCAAGTGTTGTTCCGGGACTGTCATAAGCCTGTTCAATCAAAGCCAGCTCTTCACGTTGACTTTGATTCAGCCTACCCTTGACGGAATAGGCTTCTCTGAGGCGCTCGAGAGCGAGAATGAGAATTTTGGTGTCGTGCTTGTAGGAAACACTTGGGAAAGGAATGGGGGAGAATTTTCGAGATTCAAGCCAGTGTACTGTAGTCGTATAGATGGCAACAGCCTCTTCGGACGACACATACGGACCGTCTTTCATGTAATTGTGTTGTCTTTCTTGCTCTGCCTTGAGCCAAAGTCGAGTAAGCCGCCCCAAATTCTTCTTTGCTACAGTTTTGTCGACTGTTGCACCTCTTCGTATGCGTTCTCTATTGTAGTGTGCAACAGATATCCACCAATCTGCCTTGCTCTTCACGTATCGAAGGATAATATTTTCTACCGGTGCCGGTAGGCCAGGTACTTTCCATGGAATATTGCTCTTCCAGCATCTCCATGCCTCCGACAGATGTTGCAGAACAGTGTTAACCTTGTTTTGCTTGATCCCCTCGGGCATCATGTCCATAAGATCTGCCATCACCGAAGCGCGAAGCTCTAGGTCGTAATGCGATTCGACACGCTGTTTGGTAACCGTTTTGGCGACACCCTTGCTGTGCCGACCTTCAAATTGTCTAGAAAGCAAATTGCCAAGCCATCTCTCAAGCAGAGGAATTATTCCCCTCATGAAGAAAAGCCACACTCTCCAAGCCGGTGCCCAGAAACCACATCCAGGCCCTTTACCAACTGGACCAGAATTGAATCGGTAATAGATCAAATGCTTCAAATCTTTGCATGATCGGATTTGGTGCATAAGCTTGTATTTGTATCTATACATTCCGGTGAGCTGGCCTACGTGATTAAACGCGTACAAGATACCATCGGCAAGCTGGAAAGCATCAATGTTGCCCAGTCTATATTGAACCTGGGCATCAACAATCAATTTGGTCAGCTTTAGAATCTCACGCATGAGATGGAAAGCATTTCCGAAACGTGACTTCTTCCGTTCCTTGGTGGTCAAAGTCTTGACTGGCTTCAGATTAAAATTGTAATCGAGATGGAGATATGTCAGATTCTTTCGGTGGATAAGGAGGTTTAACATGTTAAAACCTTGACGACAGACTTGAAGACCTGCTTCAACCCAATCTATTGTGGTTTGCTGAAAGAACTTTGTTTGCTTCAAAGACTTCATCAAACTTTGCTTGCTCTGGGCCTTTGGCTTCTTCTTGTGCAGCTCGTTTAGCACAAAAGTCTTCAGGAGCTTCTGATATGAGACTCTAACTTTGACTGGTTGGCCCTGAGGACAATGTTCGAGGTACCATTGCTTGACCAATGGAACATCTTGAGCTCTTACCATTCGCCCCGAACGTCTGTCAAAGGGAAATGGTGCCCACCAAAGTGCAATTGCCGACGCAGTTTCGCTTGTGTATAGCTCCTCATCTGCTAGGAAGGGTTCAGCTTCTTCTGGAAGCTCAAACGCATCTTCTTCGCGTTCTTCATTGTTCCCGGGACCAAAGATCTCGTCTTCGTGGCTGACAGTCAAATTCTTTGGCGCAACTGATCTGGACGAAATAGGGTTGATGACTGGATCAAAGTAGAAAGCTGGCAAACTGGGATCTTCAGCTCGCACGTACACTACCTGAGGATGTGAATACCAAGAAAGCTTGACGCTTCGTGGAAGAGAATTGTACAAGAAAGGAAATGCGACTCGGTATTCGGTTCTGATTGGAGCGCGGAAAATGATACGATCGATGGCGTTGAATTCCCCAAAATCCTCATCATTTGGGTCGACATCTTTATAAAGCGGTTCAAACCGAGGGCCTCCAGGAATGGCGACATTGAGGGCCTTGGCCGTAAGAAAACTATTGAGCTCAAACATATGGAAGTAATTCTTGTCAACCAAATCGCTCAGTAGTTGGTGACTTAGTCGATACAGAGCTGCCATCTGTGGTAACGATAGATTCCATTCCTTGTAACTCGGTCCATTGACGTGTGGGGTATCGAGTAGTGGCCGATTCTCATAAAACCATTCGAATACTGCTCCATCCTCCAATTCATCCAATTCCATTTGGATTGGTTCCAATGGCTCCACGTCCTCGATATTTTCAGACCATGATAGCGGTGGTTCCTCGTCGTCGAAGGGTGGAAATCGCATACGTTTGAAATGTCTTCGATCGCTTTTCTCTCGTCTCATACAAACCCACATAGTGGCCCATTGCGCATGGAAAACTGGCTCAATAACTCTAGGTGTCTCATTGACCAACGTCAAACATCCGTTGACATGGTACAACACTTTCACTTCTCTCGCGGATTCCCAAGGCATTGGCATATTCTCCAGAAGCTTCATAACCGCATGTGGCATGAACTTCAATGCTCCTAAATAACTGCGCTTGTCGCTGCTGAACTTCTTCTGCGAGACATCTCCAATGTCCTTGACGATTTTGCGCAAATGCTCCGGGGGCATATCTGCTTTCTGTGTCTCCACGAACCCTCCCTTCCTCTTCTCTCCAAATCGATTTCTCTGTGATCGCAGCCATTGTTTCTTCTTTTCCGCGAATTTGGCCACCTGGGGATCTGCTGGTGGTCGATATCCAGGTGGAGGAGGTGCTCCAGGCGGCGCGCCCAACGGTAATGAAGGAGGGGCCGAGGAACTCCATCCTGGAGGCGGAGGAAGTGGTATCGACGACATGTTGATGCCACAGAATCTCCAAACTCCTGTTGATGATAAACTGTTTTGGAGGCGAATTGTTGATCAGGCGCAAGCAAATATTAATCGTTGACAGACGCGAACCTAGCGCACTTCATGCTTGTTGCCTCAGGCAGGGAAAAAAAAGAAAGATCCACCCAACCACGTCTGTGCCGATAACGCCGATAAGTAGGTACTAGGCCCGATAAGCCACGTGATAATCGAAGCGAGAAGCAGGTGCCGCCGCACACTGCCCGGGTGGTAAAATTTCCCATCCAACCTCGAAAATATCTCGAAACTCTTCCAACGCCAACTTTCGACTCAAGCCGCCAAAATGACGTCCAACAGACTCACCTACAGACGCCGCAACCCGTATGAATTGATCGCTGCGAAAATTCTCAAATCCACGAGCTAATCAGGTTGCAGATACAACACCAAATCCAACAAGGTCAGAGTTGTTAAGACCCCAGGAGGCGAGCTCAGATATCTTCACATCAAGAAGGCCGGTACTGCACCAAAGTGCGGAGACTGCGGTATCAAATTGCCAGGAGTAAGTTACTTTTCAATTGCAGTATTCTCGAGATGGAAAGGCACATGGAGATGGGTGGCAGGAAAGATGGAATTTGGGTTGAGGGACGGTTTTGCGCAAACACAAGATCGAGTTGGCAACGAATTCGCATCCAGCGCACACTATTCAAGAAGCACCCAAGACAGATTCAACACATCCGATGCGGTCTGAAAATGGACAATTATTTGCGGATCTTGGAAATATCTCCAGTTGGGACATGATGCTGACTCTTTACCTCCTCATAGATCCCAGCCCTCAGACCCCGCGAATACGCCCAAATTTCTCGACCAAAGAAGACCGTTCAGCGAGCATACGGTGGATCAAGATGTGCCAACTGTGTCCGGGACCGTATTGTTCGCGCTTTCTTGATTGAGGAGCAGAAGATTGTGAAGAAGGTGCTCAAGGAGTCTCAACAAAAGAAGCGTTAAGGGGGAATTCTTCGATCGGGTTGCTTTAGGTGTTTGACTGGACGGGATTGCATGGTGCAGCAGGGAATTCGCTGTATTTACATCAAGGCTTCTACGAATCATGAATGACAGCTGCCATTGAGCATTGATCCTATTTGTGATTAAGCTCTTGGCCATCCTTCCAACAAAAACTGCAACAAATTTCCAACTAGCGTTTGATGGGCCATTCGTGATGGACAGACAGAAGATAGCAATTGCGTCAATGAGCTCCGTTTGACTGACGGGATACATGGGCGCAATACCAACATGTCTTCTTTCATATAAACTGCAAATTTATGGCACAACCATTATACCTAGCTCAAGGAAGTTTTTGTTTTTATAACTTGGTCCTGGAATTTGCATTGCTTTCCATTTTCCCTCTAATCTTTATTTCTTTGACCCCCCAAGTCAAGATGTGGTTACTCTCTGGTAGGGATATACTCAGACCCATGGCAGAAGTAGCATAGAGGGTACCTAGTTTCCAAAGGCAACGCTTTTGGATGCCTGTATCTCTTCACGCATAACAGGGCTGGTATACTGTATCCCTTTCCCGCACATAAGAAATCCTAGTCCACCGCACCTATTGACTCCGTGGATTGCCAATGTTAGGAACAAACCTTGAGCTTGTGAATAACCCCACGGGGTCATGTTTTATGTGGCTTGGTCCTTGGAGGGTCTTGTTGTAATCATTGCCAACCTTGGATCAAAGCTTCAAATTCCCGTATTATTGAGCTCCTAGGTATAGATGCAGGAAGAGAGACATCCATTAATATCACACCACGTCTTGTGATAAATTGGCCTAGAAGCCTTATGACACGGAATATCTAACTCTCCCGAGGTCATGTTATAACGACGTGGGCACTGAGTCTTGTGCAGCATCTGTACCTATCGATCAGGTCATTCTAATTGGCTGTGAACGAGTCGCGGCCTTGCCAAGGATGATGCAAGGCTCCGACCGCCACTACCTGCCTGCTGTGTCTGCGATGTGAATTGATAACGCAGCTGGCTTCCTCTCTCTCCCCCCCTCTTCTTCTCTCTTCCTGACACAAAAAATGCCGCAGCTTGAATTTGTCTCCTAGAGTTACAGTATTCTCGTTATCCCATCGCTTTCTCATGCCAACCACCTTTCCACAACCGGTCGTTACGAAGAGATAGCCTCGATAGCCACATAGCTTTCATGCCTTCAACTCGGCCTTTGTTTGTGAACGAGCGTCAGGATTCCGAGGACAGAGATGTAGACGAGGACACGGCACTGTTGGGGAAGCAAGGCAGTACACCAGCTCAAAAGAACTGGGCAAAGTTCTGGCGGGAATTCGCTCTTTTCACCTGGGCTTCCCTTGCAACTGCCGCAGTCATTGTCCTTGCCGTGTATTCTCAGCATCAACAACAGCGTACCCATCCAAACAATGGGAAAGGAGTGCCAAAAGGAAAGCGAAACTTGATCTTTATGGTCAGTGATGGTATGGGGCCAGCCAGTCTGTCTCTAACACGCAGCTTCCGACAATTTCAGGGTAAGAGTTGGTCGAAAGCAAAACTGTCCTAAATGGCATGCTAACTATGGACTCAGATGACCTCCCAATAGACGATATCCTCGTACTCGACCAGCACTTTATTGGGTCTTCGCGTACCCGATCAAGTAACAGCCTGGTAACTGATTCTGCCGCTGGTGCTACTGCCTTCTCTTGCGGATCCAAAAGCTACAACGGCGCAATTTCCATGCTGCCTGATCATAGCCCATGCGGGACCGTCCTCGAAGCTGCCCAAAGAGCTGGCTATAAAACTGGCTTGGTCGTCACAACCTCGGTAACAGATGCCACGCCTGCCTGTTTTGCCGCTCATGCACACATGCGATCAGAAGAGGATTTAATCGCTCGGCAAGAGGTGGGAGACCACCCTCTAGGGCGTGTTGTAGATCTCATTCTTGGCGGTGGCCGTTGTCACTTTTTACCAAACTCAACATCTGGAAGTTGCCGAGGAGACGATGATGATATCACCAAGCTAGCACAAGAGAAATATGGGTGGAACTATATTGATGATAGAGAGGGATTTGATGGACTAGAGCTAGGAAATGAAGTGCAGCTTCCATTACTAGGTCTTTTTGCTCGTTACAACTTTCCTTACAAGGCACGTATCATTCGCTCATCGCAATTCTTTGCTGACCTTTTGCGTAGCTTGATAGACGTAACTTGGGTCATATATACCCTACGCTGGAAGAAATGACTCAAACTGCCCTTACTGCTCTAGAAGAAGCCACTCGAGATAGTGAACAGGGATTTTTTCTCATGATTGAAGGCAGTCGCATTGACCATGCTGGTCATGCAAACGATCCTGCCGCTCAGGTTCACGAGGTCATGGAATATGATAGAGCCTTTGAGCATGTTCTCGGATTTCTAGACAAGTCTTCTACCAACGGTATTTTGATCGCTACAAGTGACCACGAAACTGGCGGCTTAGCTGTTGCGAGACGTAAGTGGAGATTACCCCCGGTTCTTTTCTTGGATTTCACAAGATCAACAAAATGGAATGAACTGAACCAGTCGAGAATATTCCTGGCTCTCTGCTAACATGCTCTAGAGTTGAAACCACCACCTAGCTACCCACAGTATGTATGGCTACCAGAAGTTCTTGGAAATGCCTCAAGTTCTGCTGAAAACTCGTATCGGCGCCTATTAAGACACGTATCTGCTGGTGATGACAATCTCGAAAATTTCATTAGAGAGGAACTTGTTCGAAAGGGCCTGGGCATCACGGATGCGACTGATGTTGAGATTCAAAGCCTCATCGACAATCCTGAACTCGGCTCTCCAATCTTTGCGGATATGATCAGTCGCCGTGCTCAAATTGGGTGGAGTACTCATGGGCACACTGCTGTTGACGTCAATATTTATGGTTCTCGTGGCTCACATGCCTTGCGTGGTAACCATGAAAATATTGAGGTCGGCAAGTTTCTCCGAGACTATCTGAATGTGGATGTTCAAGCAATTACAGACGAACTCGCGGACAAGTCTAAGTCATTCGTCGCGTCGGGAGTGAATTCCGAAACGTGGGCAGGCAAGCTCCCAAGCGAAGAATCTCTAGAGTCCATGAAATATGGCGATGGAGTATCACAAAGCCTGGATCTTGATATGCTGCAGTAAAAATAGATTGAGGCGCATGTTAGAGCTCTCGTTTCTTCTCTTGGCATTTAAATATACCCAAGCGTCTTCAAATTTCCGTCAAGACATCTTTTGCTTTTGGAGCTTGTTACACCATGGCGGGACAGCACGCTTGTCACTTGAATTCCTCGTGACTCCGAACAACAGATGATTGTTTAGGGGTAGTACAATAATATTCGTTTGCATCAAACCCTTGAGTTTTTGCTTTCTTTAATGTGTGAATTGTTCTTGTTTTCCGTTTCAACATTTCTCCAGATATCTTGACTACGGAGTGCCATGACCCCATTTAGACCTGCGATTTGCGTACGTCTGGTCGAGTTTGTCGAGTTTGTTCTCAAATATAGGCTGACTTTAAGTTGCTCGCTGGCAGATTACCTGTTTGGCGTATGTCGAATACTCCCTTCCTCTCAAGAGCAAATACGAATGTGACCAACTAGGACCTCTGGCAATCATGTTCAGATACAAGTTGTCGTATCACCAGGCATCTCTACGCCTCCACTTCCTCGGGAGGATGTCACATAAGCAACTTTGGCCGAGATTTTACGTTTGAGACTTAACAAAAGCGTACGGATAGATGAACTTTTTCCAGGACATGATACAATACCAGCTCAAAGGTTGACTGGCTCAGTGCCACGTCAACGATTGTTCCTCAAGTTCTTCGATTCTCAAGAGTCATTTGGAAGTGTATCTTTACTACCTGCGTTGCACGCATATCTACTACTGACTGCCAGAACTTACTCTCCACCCTCTCAGACAATTCCATACAAGCTCTCTCTCCAAAAAGAAGCCATCCGAAAAACCCACAACTTCCAAAAGCCTACCTCACAATCAAATCTCAACCCCAAAACCACGTCCACAACCTACCCATCCCAACGAAAAGAAAGAAAATGTGCAACTTCTACCTCATGGAACCGCTCTGTGGTCACACCACCCTCCTCGCAGGATCCCACTGCTACCTCCTCTACCACCAACTACAGCGCATTAACGACCCAGCCGAGCTCGCACGGCCAGGGCTCCCCTTCGATATGCCGGAGCAATGTGTGCCTAACCGGATGAACGTTCGTCGCAGGCCAATCCACGATTATTGTAGCTTTGAGTGTCGTAACAATGGGCATTTTGGCGTGAGATATGGGACGAGAGATGCGAATTATGGGCCGGGGAGTGAGAGGATTGGCGTGGGTTGGAGGTATTGAGGGATGATGGGAGGAGATGGGATAAGAGAGGGTGAGATGGGTTTTTGGATTGGTTCGCTTAACGAGTCTTGGGGGGGATTTTTGTGTTTTCTGCTTTTGTGGGTGGTAGAGGTGGTTGTTTAACTTCTGGCGCTTGATTTTGAGATGGAGATTATGGTACTATCTCGTCCCCTCTTCTTGGGTATTCTAAGTTGAATTACAGAGAGGTGGGATCCCTGTATCTCATGGTTTGGAAACTGAATTCGGATTTTGGACCCAGCTGTGCAATTCTATGCTTCCAATCTGTAAACCTTCCATCTATAACATAATCAAAAAGCGTGATAATTCATTGCTGTACTTAAAGACACTATTTATCACACTTGTAGATACTAAGTTTTGCCCTGGATGATGTGTTATTAGTTTGCTTTCAATACTCCTACGAAATGTTCGAGGAATCATATAGTTTTTAGTTGTTTCACATTTCTCTGTACAGTGCTCTTCTGAAACACTTCAGTAAAGATTTTCAAATATTCGATATAGATAATCGTATTAAAACCATTCGTAATTTAGTATTATCACCAGGGGGTGTCAGAATTCAAGACGTAGTCCTAGATTTTCGCCGAAAACACACTAAAAACTACGTTTTTACGACCGTATAACTCTACGGATTTATACAAGAACTATACGTAGTATCTTATTATTGGGTTGAAAGGGTATTGGGTTGAAAGGGTATTGGGTTGAAAGGGTATTGGGTTGAAAAGGTATTGGGTACTGAAGGTCATGGAGAATTGATTGCATTGTAAAAGGTAGCTATCTAAGGTGTTTATATAAAGAGTGTAAGGTTTAGGCAGGCATGAAGCATTTAGGCAGCAGAACTATAAGTGGATCAAATAAGGAAGTGGAGCAAAAGAGAAAGTAGACCCAGCACAACA